ATATGTATAGTGTTATGTGTTTCTTCAATCCTTCTGTTTCAGAGACATACGCTGACATATTTATGGGCTGAGAATGTCTGGGGGGCAGGAGGAGAACAGGGGTGGGATTGGGCCTTGCACTGGCAACCACAGCTGGGGGACCTGCACCGCAGGAATCCGGGCTCTGCTCTGCTCCTACCCGGGCTTACATTTCCATGATAAAAGCACAGAGATGAAGAGCTGCTGATTTAGCTGCTGGTTCAGTTCAGGCAAAACATCTGCCACACAATCCAATCCACAAAGCCAGGCCTCACTGTCAAAGCAGCCTCAAAATGGGAGTTATTTCTGTCAGAAAGAGTCTGACCTCATTTCTTCATTTCAAATAAATGTGTTAATATGTATCTCAAGGAACAGGATAAAAACTGGGGACAAAAGGACAGTATATGGTGTAGGGCAGGTTACTAAAGCAGTCAGTGTTAAAATAATGAAACTGATAAAAGGGGTTATCTATTTTTACTCAATAAAAAAAATTTTTTTTCTTTATTGATTCTTAGAGGGGAAAAAAAGGAGGAGAGATAGAAACATCAATGAGAGGGAACATCGACTGGCTGCCTCCTGCACGCCCCGCACTGGGGATCGGGCCCACGACCTGGGCATGTGCCCTGACCGAGAATCCAACCAGCAACCTCTTGGTGCAGGGTTGACGCCCAACCATTGAGCCACACCGGCCAGGTGGATTCATCTGTTTTCATAAACTAGGTTATACAAACAAGGTGGTAGAGCCACATGTTCACCACCGGTGAGCGTCTAGAGATGCCACGTACACAGCCACAGTCATTCCAAACAGGAAGTAACCGACAGGAGCTGTGCAGCCCTTCAGGGAATGTGCATGAATGCTGGCTTGATGTCTGGCTTTTGATACAATTAGATACAGCAGAACGGAAAAATGAGAAGTAATACCATTCCTTTCTTATTTCTCTAGATATCACAACACTTTCTTGTGACTTCAACATGGGAAGGGATATACTGCGGAAATTATTGGGCTCAGAAGCTAGCATGTCAACTTATTTCCTGTTAATAGGAGAGAGAAGATCGTAAATATTTCATAAGACAACATAAGGTGCTTGACTTTAAATGGAATTTTTTGGGACATGATTTGATAAAATAGGTTTTAGCTACGTTATGGAGAAATGCATACAAAATATGAAAGAAATTAAGTAAAAGTTTTAGCCACAGGTCTGGTTGTCCTAGAGAATATTCCAGTCCCATTCGAGACGCTCGCCTTCACCATCCGCACCACCCTGGTTGAAAGGCAGCTGCCCTCCTGCCAGCGGCCTGCCCTGGGAGCGGGTCCGAGGGCAGCGCAGGGGCCTGCTCTGCGCGTGGTCTCCGAGCCCTCCCCCCACAAGAACAGGCTCTTCGACACAGCGGGGGGAAGAGGCAAAGCCACCGAAACAAAAGCTGCCGTTACTGCACAACCCACTGCAGGCAACTGAAGCCAGGCTGCCGCAGGGGGCCAGCGCCTCCTGGGGCCCACAAGCTCCCTCCCAAGAGAAATAAGTGTGAGGAAAGAGAAAGACAGAAAATTCTGTCAGTTTGGCACATCTGTGTTTAGTGCCCTGCGGGTCTTCACTCCCTGGGAAATGCACCACTAGGAACACTCAGGGTGGGTGAAAAATGTGGCCTTGTCATGGGAGAGGGGTCAGGTCCAGCGGACACAGGCACATGCCCGGGCGCATCAATCTTGGCTTAGGTGGGAGCACCTGGGACCTGAGGGCCAGAGCAGTGGTCTCGGCCTTCCTGAGCCGCGGCCCCGTGACGCAGCTCCTCATGTTGTCTGTGGCGTATCTCGCGTGGGCGACCCGCCTGGAGACGGAGGGACAGTGTCTTGGTTCCTAAGACCATCGGAAATGTGTGTTTTCTGATGGTCTTAGGCGACCCCTGTGAAAGGGTCATTCAACCCCCAAAGGGGTCGCGACCCACAGGTTGAGGACTGCTGATCTAGAAGGTGATTCGCTGAAATGATCTGAGCTTACATATGCCTCTGTGAGTCTTTACTTTCAGTAAATAAACAGTCGGCTGTCTTGTTTCCAAAGACGGCCGTGCTATTTCCCATCTCACATGTTCTTTTGCCCTTTTTTGCCCTTTTTGTTTTTTTATCCTCACCTGAGGATACCAACCCCCCCCCCCCCAATTTATCCTCAGATAGAGTGGGAGAGAGAGAGAGAGAAACATTGATGTGAGAGGGACACACTGACTGGTTGCCTCCTGCACAATCCTGACCAGAGCCGGGGATAAACCGAAACCGAGGCACGTGCTCTTGACTGGAATCGAACCTGGGATTCATTGGTCCACGGGCCAATGCTCTAACAACTGAGCAAACTGGCCAGGGCCCTTTTGGCTGTTGATTTTGCCCAGATCAACAGGTAGCGTCTATAGTCCTGTAAGCCTGTGGGAGCATTTAGCACCCTATTTAAAGATCTTGCAGATTTTCCATAACATTGAGGTGCTGGCCAAATTTAAATAAATTTAAGATAATCTTGGGTCTGGCATAGGCATAAAGCACAATATTTACATTAAAAAAGGTAGTTTCGCTTTCTCAATGAGTGTGCCGAGGCTGCCCATCAGCGGTCCTGTGCCCAGTCTGGAGCGTCCATGGTGGCGGCTTCCCCACCTCTGCTCTGCACGGTCTGCGGCCGGGAAAGCTGCAGGGCCTGCGCGTTTCCCTCCGCTTGGTGAGGCCCAGTGCTTGTCCCCACAGGGCCACGCTCTGCGCTCGTGGCCTGGGTCGCGGCACTGCTGGGCTGCAGGCTTCCCGACCGTGCTGTGGACAGAAGCCCTTTGCTGCCGATTCACGCTTCTTCCCTCTTGCCACTGGCACCAGGACAAATCTTGGAAACAAGCTCGTAACTTACGATATGGTCAGCTACTGCTGCGGAATCTGCACTGACATTTAAATAAGAAATCGCACCCGAGCGCTGCTCCCGCATGCGGGAGCCCACCAGTCTAACATGCCAGAACCGAAAGTGAGCAGGTCTTTGGGCAGAACGAGTTTTCTTTCATTCATTCATTCATTCATTCATTTCCTCACCCGAGGACATTTTTCCATTTTTGTTCAGATAGAGTGGGGGGGGGGGGGAGAGAAACATCAATGTAAAAGGGACACATCAAGTGGACCCCAGCCAGGGCCGGGGGCAAATCGCAACCAAGGTGTGTGCCCTTGACCAGAATCAAACCTGTGACTCATTGGCCCATGGGCCGACCCTCTAACCACTGAGCCAAACTGGCCAGGGTAGAACGAGTTTTAAAAGCTACGGTTTCCAAGGATCATCAGAGAAGAGAGATCTCATACCGAATTCACAAGTAAACAAGCTGTGACGCTGCCACATGACATTCTGAGCAGGCTTCTTGTACACTAAGCAGAAACCCACAAAGATGGAGGCGGGGTTTCTGAGCAGTCCCAGCCCAGCGCAAACTCGAGGACCTCGCTGCGGCAGCAGCGGCCTGTGCGGTCCCCGCCCACCCACACGCGACTCCTAGCCACAAAGGCGACGCAGGACCTCGCCCAACTGGCCTCTGAAACAGGGTTCTCTTCCTGGTGCCTTTCAAAGTTTGGGAGAAAACAGTTTCCTCATTCAGGCTTCACAATCAGTCTTCCAAAGGTCACTATAAATAGCATCAAAACACCCAAACTCTTTATCACAAACCTTCAAAAAAAGTGATAGGAAATAGGAGTTTTCTTCAGAATACCTTAAATTTTGACAATGTACTCATCTGTGTGCCTGTGAGTCACATTTCAAAAACTAATCATAAAAATACACGACTTCTCCAAAGTGCGGAAGGAAAACTCATTAGCTTTCCAAGCACCTGGGGAAGAGACTGAGAAGGCGTGTGTCTGCCCCGGCTGGGAAATGAGTGTGCTCTGGGCTCCTGAACCGAAAATGTGCCTTATCAGACACAAAAGAGACAAACCGAGGAACGCACATGCACATATGCATGACCCATGCTCACCAACGACAGTGCAGTAAAGGCGGGGGGTGGGAGCAGGGAGGAGGGTGCCCATGGAGGAAAAAGGGGGACATCTGTAATACTTTCAACAATAAAGATACATTAAAAAAATTAATTAACAAAAAAAGAAATTAACCACGTTCAAGGTATCTGGTGACAAGTGTCTTGCCGTCACGAAGGCTCGCGTTAGGACAATTCTATTTTGAGCGAGAGGAATTGCGATGACGATACTGCAGGATCCCAGGTGGTCTCACCCGGGAATGGCAGGCCCGGACGGCCGGAGTCCTCACACATACTGGTCAAGTGTACAGTGTACACGGAGAAGCTTCCAGAGCCCAGGGAAGGAATGTTTACACTTACAATCACCGACTGCTCACTGAACAAATAAAAGAAGAAAGGGCCCTGGCCGGTTTGCTCAGCGGTTAGAGCGTCGACCTGCGGACCAGAGAGTCATGGGTTCGGTTCCCGCTGAGGGCACGTACCTCGGTTGCGATTTGTCCCCGGCCCCAGTTGGGGTCGTGTGGGTGGCAACCACTCGATGTGTCTCTTACATCGATGTTTCTCTCTCTCTCTCTTTCTCCCTCTCTCCCTCCTGCTCTATCTCAAGATAAATGCAAAAATGTCCTTGGGTGAGGATAAAAAAAATAAAAGAAGAAAGGAACGAAGCTTATCACTAAGAGTCTGGGAGCTACCACGGCTAAGGTGGACAGTCAATGCACAACGTCACAACCACCTAACGAGCCGACATTTCAATGGGGACCTGGACAGTCTGCATCTCTGGTTTCCAGAGGGACGGAGGGATTCGGCTGGCTCTCCACAGAGGTACTTGCAGATCACACCCAGACTGGGAAGCTCGCGTGGCCCAAACGCTCCCTCAAAAAGCTTTAAGAGCAAGGATTCCCAGTGCGCTGGGTTTCGCCACAATGTCCGAGCAAGCAGGTCGCACAGACACAGCCCCCGCGGCAGTAACACCTACAGTTCATCACATGGTCACACGCATATTCTTCACTCACCCTCCTAGTAGTATCTGCGGCTGGTTGGATTCACTGGTGACACCAAACACATCAGGAATTAAATCACCATTGAAGCTGAAAAGAAAACATTAAGCAGCTATTTTATTAAATTCTCTAACTCAGCTTCAAAGGAGGAAGGACCTTGAGGCAGTGTGGTGGACATTACAGTGCTCACAGTCTCTGCCGTGGTCATGAGACGTCAGCAGAGGTGACAGTCTCTTCCAGGCACAGTGTTGAGCTTTTGTAGCTGGGCCCCCAGCCTCTTTCCAGGGCAGAGAGAGGAGCAGGTGTCCCAGGGAGCCCAGCCCCACCGACGACCAGGCCTCTGACAGCCTGGCCCCCCGAGTGATGGCATAGGGGACACGGAGGGGGTGTAGCTGGGCCCCCAGCCTCTTTCCAGGGCAGAGAGAGGAGCAGGTGTCCCAGGGAGCCCAGCCCCACCGACGACCAGGCCTCTGACAGCCTGGCCCCCCGAGTGATGGCACAGGGGACACGGAGGGGTGTAGAGATAACCTTGTGTTCTAAAATTTGGGGGTTGTCTGTAACCTCCGCACAATCTAGCCCACCCATGAGTGATGAGGAGACATCACTGATTTCAGAATCATGATCCAACTTATTTGTTAGATGGACGTAGGATAAATGACCCACAAAAGTAATCCCCGTCTGGTACAGACACTCAAAGTGGCCGCTGAATGTTGCAATAACAATGAACTGTACACAATGAAAAGAATCACATTGAGTGCCTTTAAGAAGAGCAACCCATGAACATACAGACTTCTAATGGCCACTGACCTATTAACACTATGACTGAGATTTTAATAAATAAGAAAGGACAAGAATGGGGTCACACACCGCATGAGTCCCCCAGTGAACTCCACCTCTTTACCAGAAATCTGGACATTTGTACTAATTTTATCCTGGTATGAGCCTACATTGAGTAAATGAGTAATAAGATGAAGGGAGAGCTGTAAAACAGGACACAAGTTCCTCCTCAGTATGGAAATCTGTGCACATCGCTGGAGGAAACCCTGTACTCCTGATATCTGTCTATTAAGCACTCACAGTTTTACCCACAAGCAGTTTTCTGAATTCTCTGACTAATGACATGGCTGGAATCAACACAGATGCATAACAAGACACATTCAAAGCTACTGAAACGTAAACAAAATATAAACCTCTTCTTCTATCCAAAATACTGACTTTATTGTTTCTTTCCTGCATCATAGCAACTAAATATTGTATCACCATGAGCACAGGCCCTTAGCATCATAGCAACTAAATATGGTATCACCAAGAGTAAAGGCCCTTTGCATCATAGCAACTAAATATCGTATCACCAGGAGCACAGGCCCTTAGCAGCTTTAAAGGGAGAACGAGTTACGTGTCAACACTACTTAGCTAAGTAGATTTTTATGTGAAATTTTTTATTTCAGGCTTGTAAGTTTAAAACTACTCAAAGGGAAGCAAACACACACTTACTCCATAATTAGAGGTTCATCTTGAAAAGTCCTATTGAGTATGGTCATATTATTGGGATCTGTGAAGAGAGCACATACACAAATTACAGAAATTTTAAATTATTTTTGACATCACCCTTAGGGAAAAATATTATTTGATTCGTCTCTAACTAATTCCAACTATTAGCATTAATGAGACATTATAAATCTAAATCAAATGGACACCAAGTTCATAAAGACAAAACACTGGGGGAGTTCATTCTAAGTGAGGACCAGCATGATCTCCGTTTGCTTAGAGCCCCCTCTAAGAACCTCAGGTGCATCTTCTTTACATGCAAGTCAGCACCAGAGCAACTGACGATGAAGGTCTCTTGGCAGACAAGACAACATACGCAACACTACTCGACTCTGAAATGTCCGCTTTCCACGGTCCTCCTCTTGCAGATCTTTACTGCCTGCGGAAATCTGAAGTATTGCGAGGACTGCCTACCTTCCCAAATTACAGAAAACAAAGCGGTCCCCTCTGCAGACAAAGGTGTCTGTTTGGGTATGATTAATTCGTTGACTTTCAGATAAGATGTGGAGGTTTGCGAGTGGATGTGGCAGACTGACTCGCAACGCTTCACCCTCGCTACGCTCTCCTGGACCGCATGGCTCAGCCACCCGAGACTCCGAGTCCAGCGCCAGCCTTGCCCAGTGGATGCACCGAAGCAGGAGCGCGGTGACGCTGTGCTTCTGCCTCGCCTCCTCGGGTCTGACCACTGAGTCTCAAGAGGCAGGGGTAGGGCGTCCAGTTTGCTGGGAGAATCACCGTGGGCACGGTGGCATCCTGGCAGCTGCGCAGATGGCCACTTTCTGATAGTGACATTTTGGCTGTGGCTCCCCAGGAGGCTTTGGGGACGGTTTTAGAAAGTTCAACCTGGAGTCTGTTCTTCAGCCATCCAAACCCTTCAGTGACTCTCTCTCCTCCTCAAGACAGCCAGACTGAAGTTTGTTTTCTGAAACTGACCTCAGACCAGGTCTCGGTTGAAAATGAAAAATCAAAAAATGGACTTTCAAAAACATGTTTTACAGATAATTATTGACACTCAACGATTGAATTCTTTTTTTTTTATTCCCCACCTGAGGATATTTTTCTATTTATCATCAGATAGAGTGGGAAGGAGGGAAAGAGAGAGAGAAACAGAGAGAAACATCGATGTGATAGAGCCACATCAACTAGTTGCCTCCCACATGACCCAACTATGGCCAGGGATGAACCAAAATCCAGGCACGTGCCCTTGCCCGGAATCGAACCCATGATTCATTTGTCTGCGAGCCGACGCTCCATCCGCTGAGCCAAACCAGCCAGCACAACAAGTGCATTCTTTTAAAGTGGCTTCAGAGCAAAATTTTTGTTACATGAAAATATCAGGCACATTTTTCCTTTCCTATCCAATGACAAACATTAAAAGCTCCTAAGACAAACTCACTTAATGTTTGATTTTGTCCCCAGATGATCACAGCCCCTAATTCACCGCCAGCATGGTTTTGGGGCAGATACGTCAGGAGGACATCCATCTGAGAGTCTCCATCGTAGTCTCCCGGCACTACGCCCGTGATCAGTGCGCTCTGGTTCCTGCAGGAGACAAGCAGTTCGGAGGTCCAGCCGAGTTAGGGTAGAAAAGGACACCTCTATATCTGTACCACTCCAAAACAGTTCCAAGTTAACATTTCACACAACTGATTAACTTCATTCTCTTCTCAATATCTTATCATCCTTCACATACGTAGACCTGTTCGGTCTACAGGAGAATTCAGGGCGAATGCAAAGTTAGTCGTCTTAAGAAACAAGACCAAGCTGAAATATATCAAGGAAAACTTCAGTTTTAGGCTCAAGCATTGGCAACAGAGTGCTTTCACTTAGGTTTTTTTTTTTTTTTTTCGGTTAAGGGTACCAAGATATTTGGAAGGTGTTTATAACAAGTGGAGGCTTACAATCATTAAAGCAGCAGAGAGTATCACTGTCATTTATCAATTAATAACCCTTGTATTATTTATAAAAGATTTAATTTTGGATATTAAAATTTATTTTAGAGACAGAAGAAGGGAGAGGGGGAGGGAGGGAGGGAGTGGGAGAGAGAGATAAATGCAACTAGTGGTTTTATGTCAACACCATATTGGGTAAATTTTAATTTGAAGACAATCCACCTGGGTATTACATATCCCTCATTATGCTACTGACTGTTTTACAGAAACAAATACATTTGTACTTACTTCAAGGAAACCTTCACTTTGGGTTTAAAATAGGGTGCATTCTGGTCTGCCAAGAAGACGATTAAATCATTTCCTAAAAGAAGCAAATATATAATATTAGAATACAGTTGTCCCTCGCCACTTTGCGCTTCGACTTTTGCAGCTCCACTCTATCGTGTTTTTTTCAAATATATTCATTAAAAAGTTGATCGAGACAGTGAAAATGATACAGCATGCGCTCGGTTGTCTGAGTCAATTTCACACCCCTGTATTACAATTAAATTAGAATTACTGTATGTGTGGACTGTAGTCCTACGTATTCGAGCACCCTAGGAATCCTTCAACGCCAGGTGCAACCGCTAGAGTCTGGAATGGATTAACTGCAATAAACGAGGGCCGGCTGTAATGTTCCCTGGTAAGACACCCAATCAGTGTTTACAAGGATTTTCTGGGCACTGTTCTCAACAAGAAAACTTTTATTTTACTCTAATTCATGTGCCCTTCCAAAGCTACGCATCTGATGAAATGAAGATTGCTAGCAGTATTATCACCAAGTCAACATTCAAAAGGAAGGATGAACATGGACAATGTAGTTGGTCAAGACGAACTGAAGCAAAAGAACAGCTTCAGCCAGGAGTCAGATCAGTTGACTTAAAGGACATGCCTTGTGGCTCAGCAGTTGGAGCGTCAGCCCATGGATCAAGGAGTCTCGGGCTCGATTCCGGTCAAGGGCACGTACCTCGGTTGAGGTTGTGCGGGAGGTGACCGATCAATGTTTCTCTCTCTCTCCCTCCTGCTCTATCTGAAAAACCGGTGGAAAAATATCCTTGGGTGAGGAATAAAAAAGGAACATGTCTTATAACTATATGCCAAGCCCTGTCTTCCCCAAACCTGGAAGACTGTCTAGTTCATAAGATGCATCGCCCTAAGGACATGGGAACGCCTACAGTAGGTACCCAACTAAGAACATGACTTCGCATGTCAGCAGGAAAAGCTGAATCTGCTGAGACCCTCCTCTTGTGGCTCCTGTAGAACCTTCCCCCAGGTTGATGCATTCTTGGAACTCAATGAGCACTCACCGGAACAGACTTTTAGAATCATTTAATCAAACATAAGCCGCCTTTAACGTTAGAAGAGTCTCTGTGTCCAGTCTGGTGGGAGTAGCTACAGGTTTGGGAGTACGCACCCTTTTGGCAACATACGGAGTCATACAAAGAGAGGAAAATATAGCCAGGGTCCACAAGGGGCTCTGGGGGCTTTGCAAGGGCCCCAAGAAATCTGGGCCAGGATCCTGTCAGTCAAACTCTGTGTGAGTACTCACTCCTTCCTTTGTGGCCTTGACCTTAAACAGTACCTGGTGCTGTGGCTTCTCAAGAATGCCAAGACCCTCTAATGCCCATCGTCAGCATCAAGATGCACCAACAAAGTTTGCTTAGGATGGTTAAAGCAAGGAACTCGCAAACCTCAAGTTGGCAAAGAAGGCAGAGATATGGTAGTGACCAAAGCAAGGAAGGGTCAGCTGCATACAAGAGATGAGGCAGCTCAGGATGGGAGGAATCTGCAGGTGCAGAGTCCTTTCCCGAGTGTACTAGCGGCCCATGCAAAACAGCTCTGGGAGCTGTGGAGTGTAGGCGATGGGAGGGCCCAGAGGGCTGGGACCCTGACAAAGGAGGGGCAGGTGACTGAGGTGCAGGTGGAGGCTGGGAGAAGCCCTCTGAGAAGACGTCGTCAAGATGCACCTTTTCCAGTTCACTAAAGGGGAAGGAAAAGGGAGGGAGAAAGGCAGAAAGCAACGGAGGGGCCTTGGGAGGGGACGTGGCTCAAGACTCCTGTGAATCGGGAAGGGCTTTGGAAGGCAGGTGGTGCCACGGGGAGGAGGTGCCTGAGTGAAGGCCGCGGGCTCCTCAGGAAAAAACTGGGGTGCTTCCAGGGGACAGCTCCCCCTGGGGTGGCCAGGCCAGGACGGCGGGGGCACGGGGGAGATGGAGGAGACAGGCAAGCTGTCAAGGATGCTGGCGATAAAGAGAGGGATTCGGGGCTGAGAAAGGGGCCCGGCAACACAGGGGAGCCAACCCTCCGGGCAGGGGACGTGGGGGTCCCGGGAGGGGCACCGGGGCACGGCGGAGGGGGCCGGGCGAGCACTGACTTTCCCGCAGCACGAAGAGGTCCGTCTGCTTGTCGGAGTTGAGGTCTCCGAAGGCCGCCAGGGTGCCCCAGGCCTCGGCCCCAAAGAGCTCGGCCGTGACGTTGTGCAGCGCCCGCGCCGGGGCCGGCCCGCCGCCCAGCAGCGCCAGCAGCGCCAGCAGCCCCCAGCAGCTCGGCAGCCGGCCCGCCGCCGCCATGGCCGCCCTGGCCCCGCCCGCCGCCCGGCGCCGCGCTTGACGGCAGCCGGAAAGCACCGCGCCGCCGGCCCGCGGCCCAGCGCGCAGCCCGCCGCCCGGACGCCGGCTCCCTCGCCCTCGCCCCTCGGGCCGCTCCTCGGACGCTCCGGAGGCCGAGGCTCTGCGGGGGGAGGCGCGCGCGCTCACTTCCGGCCGGCGTCCTCGCGACAGTGTCGCGCGGGCGGGGCCGCCGGGCGGCATTGACAGGCGGCCCGGGGGCGGGGCGGCGGCCAGGCGGCGGCCCCGGCGCGATGGCGGGGGCGGCGGGGCTCATGGCCGAAGTGAGCCGGACGGTCTTGGAGCGGAGAGCCCGGGCCAAGCGCTCAGGTTTGGCAGGCCGGGGCGCCCCTAGCCCGAGCGCCAGGGGCGGGGGGCAGTGGGGTCCTGGAGCGAACTTGGGCCCGCGTGCGCCCCCTTAGAAAGCAGTCGGCGGGCCGACCTTCCGCCCGATGTCCCCCACCCCTAGAAATGAGGGGGTGCCCCCCACGTTATCCCGTGTGTGTCCCCCAGAAAGTAGGTGGTGACACCGACTTCACCCGAGACTTCCTCCTTAGAAATCGGGCGGCGACCACGTTCCTGCCAACCAGAGCCCTTCTGTGTGTCCCTCCCCAGAGTCAGGTGGCCTCACCCCTGGGTGTGACTGTGATCTGCTCGGGGCCTATGTCTCACCCCTTTTCCATTCCTCCCACATTCCGAGCCCCAGCCAGTTATCTCTGTGGCAGAAATGGAGGGGACAGGGCTCAGGCCGCGAAGGGGGCCCCGTGGAGCACAGTCGGGGCTCAGAAGGAAGTGGGTGCCTTCCCTAGACAAGCGGCCCCAGGGAGCCCAGTCTCCAGGTGTGGCCCCAACTCCAGGCCTCCGAGGTCCCCAAACGCCGAGCAGGCAGTCCTCATAGTTCAAGTGTCCTGAGCTGACTTCTTCAAACTGCAAAGTCACGACACCGACACCGAAGTTAGCCCTGGAGGCTGACAGCTCCTCCGAGAGCCAGGGTCAAAAGGTCTCCGAGGCCGGCTGGCTGGACAGAGTCTCGAGCCCAAAGTGTCCATAAACAAGAACAGAAAGTCTCCAGCTGAGAATCGTCCCCTCGGAGGGACTGATGTCACTATACGATATGTTGGGAGATGCTGATGCCCGTGTTGCTGGCAGAAGGGCAAGGCACAGCCCTAGGAAAATGAACCGCGTTTGCACTGATGTTAAGAATGTTTTTTTTTTCTCTCAGCTGATACGTTTCCATGTGCTTTGGGCTCTTCCCCTGTATGAAGTTCTTAGTTGTCTGTTGTGCATTCTCCTTTTTTTCGAAATTGAAATGATCTAATTTCCTAAGTCACACAGAAGAAATTTACTCAACCTTATTGCTAATTTCATTTTGTTTTTTAAATCTTAAAAAAAAGTTCTGTGCTTCCTAGGTAGGAGGATACCAAAACTACCAAGAAAGTAGGAGAGAAGTTCTCCAAAGTAGTCCTTAGGACATTTTAATTAATACAGTTCCTTGGAATAGTCACATATATTTTTGTTTCACACTTTTTCTTAAAAGCTTTGCGTTATGTTGAAGTATTGAGTTGACCACTAACTATGTATCTGGGTTATAAAGAGTGTTATTGGATTGATGATACAGTATCTGGTCACAGAGAGTGACTGCGGCTTCTTACAGGGCACTGAGCTCTGCCCTCAACATGTTTTAAAAGCATTTCTCTTTTCCCTTAATAAGCATAGGGTTTATTTTCTTCTCTAGTCTATTTCCTCTGAAGTGCATGTCACAATAACAAGCTTTGAAAACCTACCTTCTCTTCTTCAACTGAGAAAAAATTCAAATTTCATTTAATTTGTTGAATGTGGTCACTTTAATTCAGTTTCATGTGCAAAGTAGTTTAGTGCATAGTATAAATGTTGGATGTTCTCATATGTTTACATCATAGTAGTAAAAGAGATAATGTTGAAGTCATTACTCAAATTAATTGAGGTTGCAGATTCTTCTGTTAACTCTGAAGTATAGATTCTAAAGTTTCTTGAATGAATCATTGATGTCACGTGTCATTAAAATAATCAACCTGAGTTTTGTTACTTTTATAAGAATATACAAACTGAGCTTTGTTTGAAACTTGGGCTAACCTGACTGATATAGACGTCACTGCCAAGTTCTGAGCATTGTTACATAGTTGCATAATCACTTCACTGCTCAATAGAGGATGTTACTCTTAGCTAATTTTGAGAAGTGGATATTATGTATACGTTATCTATATAAGCAACTGTAACTTACCAAAGCAAAGTAAGTTTTCAAGTCATAAAAGGAAAATAAAATGATAATGAACCTTGATAATTATCTTTTTTGCACACTGCATCATGTTAATAACTGCTCACACTGCTTTCAATTAATCTAATCCTGATTGCTTCTAACCTTCACTAAACAGTTCTGAAAATTGCTGTAGTTTAGCCTGTGACGCTTATGATTAGAGCCAACAATTTGAAATGGCCAGCTCACCTGATGCAGTCGTCTCTTCTCCGCCAGCTTTCTTAAGGTCTGGTAAGTGTGGAGACCCCCAAAGGGGGTAATTTTAAATGCCTTTGTCTGAAGTTTGATGTTGCCATCTGACAGCATTTGGATTTTGTGCCTCTTGGGAGAGCCCGAGTCTGAACACCACTGTTCTGCGGCTGTTAGGCTTCAGTTTGCACTATATTTTGAATGTGACCTGTCATGTTGTTGTGCAGGCGTGAGAAGTGACAGTTGAGCCTCAGTTGTCAAATGGATACAAAGAAAGCTTCTTAAATGATTTTTGTTTTCCTGCATCATGGAAATAACTTTTATAAGTTGGGAACTTTTGGTCGGCATCTCACTGATTTACGCTTTATCAGCTCCCTGTGCCATAGGTATTTTTATACATGTTCATAGGCAGGAAGGGGAAGCTCACTTGGTGAAGAGATGAAGCAACTTGCCTCAGTCCCGGGACTTAAGTTTCAAAGCCATGTGCTTTGCCTTGTGTCCCATGGCTGCTTAGTGGAAGGGCGGCGGGAGGGTGGGCCTAGGGGCTCTGAGACTGTCTGCTGGTAAAACTCCTTGCAGGCGGGTGAAGGCTGTGGAGCTGCTCCTCCGGTGTGTGCCTGGAATGTTGAAAACGGGCTGGAGGAGGTTCATGCATCCGGGAAAGACCACGGGTGGATTCCCAAATTGCACCCGGGCCTTTGGATGTGTCCAGTCTCACTTTAGAGAAGAGAAGGGCTTGGTTCAGTGGCCAAGGAGCTGAAATGAAGACTGGAGTCTTTAGGGCTTTTTCCGTAGGTTGTGGCCACCTTGGGCCCCTCTGGGAGAAGCCTGTTGGCGAGAGGCTGCTTTGTCCCTAAGGTACTATAAGCAGCATGTTCCAGCCTCAGGACCCATTAACAGGTAGATGTGAGCTGAGCCAGCCAGAGTGGCAGCGAAAAGGTCCCTCACGGTTTCACCATCACCATTCATGTCCATTTAGATTTCAAGTCCTGTTTTGGCAAGATGGACGAGAAAAATCTCGAAGAAAAGAAATAAGAAAACAGCTCAGGGAAGAATCTTAAACAGGCGATAACAAAGCTTCTACTTTAAGGAACAAAAACGATGCGTGTCTTCAGTTGTCATCAGTTAAATGACAAAACAGTAGACGTAACATCACCACTTTTTGATTTCTGACTTAATTCTGAACTAAGAGAAAAGAGGACATGCAGCCTGGGCTGTGTTTCCCTGCCGTTCAGCACAGGCTCTGGTTCCCACCGCGGCAGGCCCCGTGGGCCCGGCGAGTCCCCCGCACCGGCAGGCATTTGGCAATCCCGGGAAGCAGAATGCTAATGATAAGATAAGCTTCCATGCTTCAGCAGCCCTGAGAATCTCAGCACCTCCGAACTGTGCTTTCACGGTACACAGCACTTGAAGGCACACACAGGAAGCTTTTCCAGCACCGTATCATTACACTGAAACAGAATGTGCCAAGAAACAAAATAGAAAAATACTGAACTTCGCCGTAAGCCATTTTAAAGACGGATTCCTTATAAATGACTTGCAGTATTTACACTATTTGGAGGTTCCTCTAACCAAAACTTAGCGATGACTCTAAAGAAACAGCGAAGACTTTTATCTATTAAAATAAATAATGAGAGGGGTTTGCATTTATAGGTTTTTGACTAATTTAGAATTACTGCATTTATGCTGGAAATTATTGTTTTTCCCGATTGTAGTGCCTTGGACATTATCGTTGTTGGAGAGTATTTTACGGAGTCCTTTTAACAGTCCGTTTAAAGCATGGGTTCGCAGCTGAGCTTTCCCTGGTGCGAGAAACTATTCAGTTGACCCCCCAAAAATGAAAGCCAGTGTCTTGCTTTTGGAAAATCAGTTTTCCACATACCTAGATTGTTTTATGTATTTTAATCTTGATTCCTCCTGAAATGGTGTCTGCAATTTTGCCTCTGTGTCTGCTCTTTGAATGGAGTGTGTGATGCCTGAGCTGTGCTCTGACTGCTGATGAGTCAGTGAGTCTGTGGTTAGGTGGCCTCACGTGGAAGCCAAGGCGAGCAACCTGGAACTCCAGAGCGGGTGTCCTGTGCGGCAGGAGGCTGCCACGCCGCAGGGGAGGGGACAGCTGTGCCCCACTGGGTGCCATTTCAAACCTTCATACTTCTCAATATGTTATTAAAAACAGTAATTTTAGAAATCTTATCTAAACAATTTTATTGGGTATTATGCTAGGCATTGGCAGACAGTATCAATCATTTCTACTGATAGTCTTTCCGCCTTGATGGGGATTTTTTCCCTTTCAGATTGAGCCCTTGTTAAATATGGCTCATCTAAGCTTGTTGATCTTAGACCTTGACCCCTCATTTGCAGTAAACATCTTTTAAATGGTCTGCTGAAAACAACGAAGTTTCTGCTAAATGTCTTTAAAATAGAGGTATTCAAAATAAGAGCTGTTTGTTGTTTTTTTTTTATCCTCACTCGAGGACATTTCTGCATTTATCCTCAGATAGAGCGGGAGGGAGAGAAATGGGAAGAGAGAGAGAGAAACATCGACGTGTGAGAGAGACACATTGAGGGGTTGCCACCCACCCGACCCCAGGCGGGGTTGGGAACAAACCTCAACCGAGGCACGTGCCCCTAGCGGGAACCGAACCCGGGACTCTCTGGTCCGCAGACCAACGCTCTAACCACTGAGGAAACCAGGCAGAGCAGAGCTGTTTCCCTAATTTACATATATTTCTGGGGGTAATTATCTTTGCTTTGTAGAGTCTTTCTTTAAGTTTTATCTTTGTTTCTATCAGTTCAGAGATCCTGGTGTTTGCTTGTTATCTTGTTTTCATGGAAATACACAGTGAAGCTCAATTAATTTTTTATACCCCCTTAATCCTAATTCTCAGTAGGCTTGTAGCTTTGATAATTATCATTTGTTCAGTAACCACAAGGATAAAAAGTTCTAGCAGGGTGTCATGTTAATTATCATAATTTCAAGGAATAAAACCTACTTGAGGATTAGACATGACCATTGGACTCTCTGCTGCTGTATCACGCTGTATTGCATTGGTATCTGTCCTAAGACCTGCACCCAGTGTAAGCCTGTCCTCAGGCTTATCTGTTCTGCCTTTCAAATCCTTCTTGACTAGGTCCCCCTCTCTGCACCCCTCTGTCCCTGTCTGAATTCAGGCCTTAGGGTGAATGTTACAACCACAGGACTCCTGTGCCGGCGGCTTAGCTTCTCCAGCAGGCCTTCTCTCGCTGAAGTGTGGGTCACGTGACGCCCTTACCCGAACCTTCCCACAGGACAGCATGCAGCACTGACCATTCTGCTCCGCCCTCTGCTGCTCCACGCACGGACCCCCTTCCAGCCTCCTCCCACCATGTTCTCTGCTGCGCGCTGCCCATCTGTGTGCGGCTCCCAGACGTGACGCTGTCCTTCTGGCTCACACCTTTGTCCCAGGCTCCCCCGGTGCAAAGAGCCTTTCTCGGGAAGCTGGTGCGTGTCCGCGTCTTCCATTCTGCTGCAGGGATCGCGCATCTTCATGTGCTTTCTGGCGAGCTGCTCCCTCTGCATCCCAGGTTCAGTTCCTTGCTCTGCTGGTTCCGTTTGGCTCTGACGTCATGGCACCGCTATCGGATAGGTGGCTCCTTTCTAGGCTATGAGATTCTTCAGGTCAGAGACTGAATCAGCTGTAGCTTTGAGTCAGTAGCCTGGATACAGGGCTCAGTGCTGGGGACTTAAAGTTGAATGAATGAATGAATCACACTAAAAAGAATTAGTGCAAATTTGGTACAGAATGAACTTTCCAGAACTCTATGTTGCCTATCACATTTTTATTTTGTAAATAAAATTTGGTGCATTTATTTTCTAGCTGTTTTTTTGTTTTTTTATCTTCACCCAAGGACATTTTTGCATTCATCTTCAGATAGAGCGAGATGGAGAGAGAGAGGAAGAGAGAGAGAGAGAAACATCGATGTGAGAGAGACACATCAATTGGCTGCCACCCACATGACCCCAACCGGGAACAAACCACAACTGAGGTACGTGCCCCTAGCAGGAACCGAACCCAGGTCTCCCTGGACTGCGGGCCGACACTCTAACCGCTCAGCCAAACTTGCCAGGGCCAGCTGTTCTTTAATAAGGACATTTTCATGCTAAATAGATATCCTCCACTAGTCAAGTCCAGAAAAATTCAAATTCAAAACAGAAATCGAGTAAGTGAAAGAAAATAGTGACCTTAGTGTAGAACAACTGTGATTTGGTGCGGGCACCCTTGATGTCCCTACCTGTGGGCAACCTCTCCAGGGCCAAACGGCTCCCCGGCTACCTTCCCTGGCTCAGCACCTTCAGCAGTCTGGGGTGCTGATTTTGGCTTTCCCTGAAGGGACTGGGGGGAGTCACACAGGTATTCCCCCCCTGCATGGTTGTCAAAGTGCATGTCATGAGGAGCATGTTTATTTCTTTACACCTAGAGAAGGTCCGCACTGTTCATTGGGCCTTGTCTATCCCGGTGTGGACTTTACCTAAGGTACCAAGAAATTTGGATTTGGCATTACATTTCAGAAATATGGTAAGGAGGGAGAGTAAAATGATGGGCTTTTAAATAAAGTGGGAAGAAATTAACTTCTTAAATTTTGCCGTTTAGAGTAAGCTCAAAATTTGTCAGAATAATGCCCTGACCGGTTTGGCTCAGCAGTTAGAACATCGGCCTGTGGACTGAAGCATCTCGGGTTCGATTCCTGGTCAAAGGCATGTACCTCGGTTGCAGGTTCGATCACGACTTCAGTTGGGGTTGTGTGGGAGGCAACCAATCAATGTCTCTCTCTCATCAATATTTCTCTTTTTCCCCTCCTCCTTCCCTTCCATTCTATCTAAACATCAATGGAAAAATATCCTCATGTGAGGATTAACAAAAGAAAAAGTCTGTCAGAATGAGAAATGATACATTTATGTCTGTACAAGTCCTAGACACAGTGAGAAGCAGCGCACTAGAGAAGAGTGTTTTCGCGTGAGGCTCTTCAGGTCAGAGCCCGGCGGTGACCGCGCATCTGACCTACAGGAGAGGCTCCTCTGCGTCAGGGTCACCTCGAACTAGCAGGAGTGAGGGACGTGAGAGCCCGGCAGAGGACAGGTGTGCCACGGGTGCGCGGCTGAAGCAGGGTAGTGACGTGGACCAGGGCGGTCAGTGCCAACGCTGCTTGGCAGAGAGCTCAGTGTTTGGGGGGAAATTGTTGTCAAAGCAGTATTTCTGATTTAATGTTAGTGTGGAAGCATATATTGCTGTGAATCTGTATTATTTTCATTTAAGAAATATATATATATTTTTTTATCCTCACTTGAGGACATTTTTGCATTCGTCTTCAGATAGAGCGGGAGAGAGAGAGAGAAACATCGATGTGAGAGAAACACACTGACTGGTCGCCACCCACACAACTCCAACTGGGGCCGGGGACAAACTGCAACCCAGGAACGTGTCCTTAGCGGGAACCTAACTCAGGTCTCTCTGGTCTACGGGCCGACGCTCTAACCGCTGAGCCAAACCAGCCAGGGCAAGAAATATAATTTTTAAGAGAAGACCAGAAACAATAACTTTATCCCTCCCCACCCCCCGAAACAACAACAACAAAGAAAACCCAAAACATACCTCAGTGTGAAGTCTTGGCTCTTCCGCTTGCTCACAGCACGGCCTTGGACAGAGCACCAAACCTCAGCTGCTCTCATCTGTAATGCGTGAATAGTAACAGTACCTGCACAACGGAGTCGTGGGGGTAGACGAAGTCAGGCATGTGATGCATGTAGCACAACACTTTGCACATGGCAGATGCAAAACACATGAGCTGTTTTATGATATGCTGGTAATAATGAGATTATTCTTTACCTTTCTTTGGCTAAAAGTGCTCACGTGTTGATTTTTACATTTACATGTTTACATTCAGCCTGACAACTCCCACTAAGAGTGCTGACTGGGTCAACATCCTTTTTCAAGACATAGAGGCCAAAATAATTAATGTAAAAAACAAACAAAAAAATCAGCCCCTGAAGAGGGAGTCAGAAGATCTTGTTTATAATGTAAAATAAAGGGCTTAGACCAGGTGCCTGTCCATGTTCCTTTCTGCCTTCAAGCATATGGCTCTGGACCAGGAGTGTCGGCAGTCTGTGGAGAGTATCTGTCGGGTCCAGGGCAGGACCTAGGCCAGTGATGTTGAGACAGATTTTGAAGGTGGGGAGCTGACAGTTGGGGTGGGTGTCACAGTGCTTCAGGTCTTGAGGCTCGGCTCAGTGGACGACGGTTAGTCTTGATGGTGAGCTCTTTCGTTGGTCATGGTCTCACCTTCTGGAAGTTGTAGGGTTGGATTCTTCTAAGAGGACAGTGCTGCAGTTTGATCTTGATCCTTTCTCCTTCCCCTCTCTCGTTTCTTATGAGATGGAGCCCTGGACCTCCTTAAAATGCAGCACAGACTCAGCAGGTCTGGGGTGGGGCCCAGGAGTTGCAGTTGGAACAGACTTCCAGGGGGGCCCTGGCGGTGCGGTCGGAGGCGGCTTCCAGGGGGGCCCTGGCGGTGCGGTCGGAGCGGACTTCCAGGGGGGCCCTGGCGGTGCGGTCGGAGGCGGCTTCCAGGGGGGCCCTGGCGGTGCGGTCGGAGCGGACTTCCAGGGGGGCCCTGGCGGTGCGGTCGGAGCGGACTTCCAGGGGGGCCCAGGAGTTGCAGTTGGAGCAGACTTCCAGGGGGGCCCTGGCGGTGCAGGGACCACTCCTGGAGGAGCACAGTTCTGTCTGTTCTGTCTGTCGCACCAGACTGGTCCCTTGTAACATCTTCATCTCTTGTGTTTCAGATTCTAGATCTCTGGCTCTGATGGAAGCATCCTTATATCCCAGTCCTTAACTTAGTCTTTGGGTAAATATGTTGTTATCAGCGTCCCTGGTCTCCTTAGGCTTTCCCCACAGATGCTGTGTGTGACCTTGGCTGTTTCTGCAGCCTCCTTTCTTGAGTGTGGCTCTCTGACTCTACTTGCTGGGCTCCTCTGGGCTTTGACTTCTGGCCTGGTTTACCTGCACCAAATCCTTGCACTCAGCCGAGCCAGTGCACTAGAGTTGGCAGTTCAGGACTTCCACTGTGAGGCCTTTGATGTACATTAATGACATAAGTGACATTTCCAGCAGATGTCATTGGAGTGACTGGGTGTCATTCGCATTTCCTTCTAGTCTCTACCGCGCGTGATCTCAGTAGTTACAGTTGGCGCCCTGCGTGCGAGATGGCGCAGTCCCCGTCCAGTGGGCAGCTCTGCCCTGGAGGTGATGACTGTCTCCGTCCTCGGAGGTCCAGCCGATGGAATGGAAATGACAGCCGTCATTGGTCAGTCCTAGAAGTTAAGCTGATTTTTCTGCCAGTCCAATTTGTTTCCCATGGTATTTCTTTGCAAAATTGAAGTGCTGATTGCTTAAAGACCTCTGGGGAGGCCCTGGGGGGCGGGGGTGGGGGCGGGACCAGGGAGTTGGCCTCTCCTCTGACTCGGGTGGCCGGGGGCATTGAGAGCAGACGGATCAGTAGGATCAGTACCGCTGGCGGGGTCTCCTCTGAGGCGCCCTGTAAGACAGGACTCAGCAGCCACAGACTGAACGTAAAAATGAGGGTAGGACTTCAAGTGATGGAATATCATTTGGTTTGAGAAGAAGAGGGAACAGCGAGCAGTCTTTAAATACACTACGAAAAACTAGCAGGTCCGAGGCTGAGTTCCATCGTGGTCCCATGTTACAGTAGGGGTGCACTTTCACTCGCAGTAGTATGAGCTGAATACCTTAAGCATCAGTCGCCGTGACTCCAGTTTTCATTTCAGTTTTTTGCTACAATAAAATCCTTATAACTAAATTGCAATGCTGATTAAAGTACAGCAAAATCTTAATAGTCTTAGCATTCGCTCAGTTTCATTCTTTCAGTTTTGCGTTCCATAAAAAACTAACAGCCCATAAAAAAATACGGTGAAGTTAAGCTGCGCTTGGAACAGACTTGCAGCCTTTTAAGCCCCCCCCCCCACCGGGTCGTCTGACTGGGTGCAGCTTGATGGAAGCAGGAGCACCCAGAGTTCCAGTGTCCTTGGGGCCAGTTCCGGAGCTTAAATGTGCGCCTTAGAAAGGGGGTTCATTTGCATTTTAATATAGTTCTTCAGCATGGTGTCCTACATTTCTTAATGAAAGATTTCATTCTGCTCCCAGGGGTCTTGCGTTCACCTTGTCTTCCCAGAGACAGAGTGACTTTCTGGAAAGCTTGACCGTTGGCCCTTATGGGACTTGGAGGTTGTTAGTGACTTGTTAGTGAAGTGAAGGTTAGCTCTGAATAGTCACGCTTCAGAAGTAGTTTACTTTGGTTCTGCAGTGTCACTGCAGACCTGTCAGCATCCCTCCTGCGTAGCGCAGGGCTGGATTTCGGGAGCTTGTCTGCCTCTTCCCCCAAGGCAGTGCTCCCTCCCTGGCTGGTCAGGGAGAAGGGCCAGCTTGGTTTCCTGCACTGGACCACGCGCAACCCGCGCGGCATTGCTGTCCCGTTACAGCTCAAATTCCACTCAGTCAACTCTTATGTTTCTTAAAAATTACTGATTGTTTCCGTTGCTGGTGTAAAATCACTGTGTGGGCACCCGCCTTGCACTGACCAAGAGGGTGCTGATGTGAACTGACAAACCAATTCTTCCTGAATCCTGCATTTCCTGTTCGTGCCCCAGCCTGTGCCCAGTGCGGGAGCAGATTCGGACATGTAAGGATGGGGATGGGCAGACACTAGTGTTTGTGTTGTGTACTGTGTTAGTGGCTTTGCTGAAAATATCCATTTGAGTCTCTCAGCAACCCTGTGAGGTTATATAACCCCCCACCTTGCAGGCGAGAAGCCTCGCCCAGGGAGAGCCAGTCTGGCCGTGGTGGAGTGGGTTAGCTGTGGTTGCTGCCCAGGTCTGTCTGCTTTCAAAACCCGTGCTCTCTCCAGAGCCTCTTTCCTGAGACAGTCTCCCGGTCAGGGAGGACGGGGTGGGGGTGGGCGACAGGCAGTGTAGACCAGGCAGACCTTCGCTTGATCGGACCTTGGGCTTACTCTTATTCACTGAAACGTGAAAGTTGGCTTGTGAGATAATTGACTTGGATTCCATACAAGCTGGGTCAGAACCTCAGGACAGCCTTGGAGGAGTCACCACGCCGGGGGGAGGGGGGAGTGAGGATGACATGCCACCTCTGCCCACTTCGCTTGCCCCATGGCCTGCACCGGGCTGCCTTCTAGTGAGAAGGAAGTGCTCTCCTGTTCGTTATCTGCAGCGTCTGTACTGGGGAGAGTCCGGAAGTCTTTCGTTTTTTTCTGGTTATGAGTATTTTTATTCCTACAGTCATCTGACTTGACTAATTCATTAGTTTATTGTGATTTTTTTTTTTTTTTAATCCTCACCCGAGGACATTTTTGCAATTTTTGTACAGATAGAGTGGGGGGGGGGGGAGAGAGAGAGAAACATCGACGTGAAAGGGACACATCAAGTGGCTGCCACCCACACGACTGACCAGGGCCGGGGACAAACTGCAACCGAGGTACGTGCCCTTAGCGGGAACCGAACCCGGGTCTCTCCAGACCGCAGGCCAACGCTCTAACCGCTGAGCCAAACCGGCCAGGGCTGATTTTTTTTTTTTTTTGCTTAACATTTAAGACTTTATTCATGCCTACCATACAAAGTGTTATCAGAGCAATTTTTAATTAGTAGTAATAATATTCGTATTAAATGCATCGCTGAACTTGACTGAGATAAGGAATACTGACCAGGTTTCGTCAGAGTGTAAATGATAAATGGAAGTGGTTTGGTTTCATTTTTCAGAATGCTGAACGGCTTGAAACACTTCTGTGGGACTTGTGTGGAAGAACATATACACAGCAAAATGCCCAGTGCACATGTTTTCACAACTATAACAACAGATGACATCATGTAATAAGTATCTCCTGTGAAGGTTGGGAAGTGTGTACAGTGAAGCTCTTTCCACCTCCTCGTAGTTCTGTTAATGTTGAACCAAGACTCTGTCATTTAACTCAGAAGTTTGGAATTCAAAAATCCCACTGGAGTATACGTATGAAACAATGAATGACTCTAAGTTTCTCTTGAGAAGTCTGACATGTTCAGATTAGTATTATCCTTTATAAAGTGGCTCCCTTGGAAGGCTAGATACATTTATTCTAGGGATCCAGTAATTTTTACATCATAGCCTGTTGTGAGCTCACTCAGCCTCCTTGATGAGGAGGGAGAGCAGGGCAGCAGAACAATGTAGAGAAGAACACGTGGAAATACTTGCTGGTCACAGCTGAGGTCATTGATGAGTGAGTCATACTTCACTGCCTCTTAGTTAATTACGATTGCAGCCGATTCTGAGCAGCTTCTGGCAGATCCTGGACATCAGAGGGTATCAGTTCCGTTTGTTCAATAAATATTTATTGAGTGCGCGGTGCCAGAGGCTGCTGGTTGGGGCTGTGACAGGACACTGCTGCTGTTGAGGACATGTAATGACTTTGCCACTTCTGAGTGCTTTTTTTTTTTATAAGGAGGAGTTGTAAAAACTTTCAGAAAGGTTCGAACTGTTTGAATGCAGCCGTGACCTCGCAGGAAGCAGACTGGGGCAAGGTGTTCTCCTAGACCGTACACAGGAAGACGGAATAGCTCCTTGAGCGATTGGTGTTCATGAGGGCAACACACGAAACAGCAACAGATTTAATATCCTTACACAGATTTTATAGGCTGTGCTCCTTCTGTAAAGGTCACCGGGAGGACTTAATACGTTTTCATCAGAAATAAAATGGAAACAGCGGAGCGGCCTTTTCACATCTCATTTGGATACGTTGAATAGGCAAATTCCACTTTATTTTTATAAAGTTGTGTTGTTTTATATTTGCCATTTCATATTTTACATTTAAATTTTCTTTTCTTTATTGATTTTAGAGAGAGAGGAAGGGAGCGCAAGAGATAGAAACATCGATGAGAGAGAACATGGATTGGCTGCCTCCTTCACGCCCCACACTGGGGATCAGGCGCACAACCTGGGCATGTGCCTTGACCAGGAATCGAACCAGCAACCTCTTGGTGCAGGGTCGATGCTCAACCATTGAGCCACACCAACTGGGCTTTTTAAAAAATAATTTTTTTTCTTTATTGAGTTTAGAGAGAGAAAGGGAGAGGGAGAGAGAGAGAAACATCAATGAAAGAGAACATTGATAAAAATACATTTTTTACCCAACTTGCCATGGAGAAACATATAGACTTAAAAAGTTGAGGGTTCTGCCTGGCTGGTGTGGCTCAGTGGTTGAGCGTCGACCCTGTACCAAGAGGTCGCCGGTTTGATTCCTGGTCAGGACACACGCCCAGGTTGTGGGCCCGATCCCCAGTGGGGGGAGTGCAGGTGGCGGCCAATAGATGTTCTCTCTCATCAATGTTGCTTTCTCCCTCTCCCTCTTTCTAAAATTAATAAAGAAAAAAATTTTTTTTTAAAGAAAAGTTGAGGGTTTTGCCTTGGCAAGTGTGCTCAGTGGTTAGAGCGTCGACTCCCCTCATCTCGTACGAGCTGGCTCCAGCATATCTGTGCAGAGGGATGTTTTGCAGTGTTGTTTGTGATGGCAAAACTAGAAAACTACATACCCACGTGGGGAGCGGGTGACTGAGCCGCACTGTGTCGGAGATTTCCATGAGTGCCGTTAAGCGAGAGGGTCCGGAGGCTGGGATGGGTGTGTTTCATGATCCCCCTTTACAAACCAAGCAGTCACACTGCTCCGCCCTTCACTAGAGCCCGTTCTGGTGTCACTGTGGAGACTCTTCTTCCGAGAGCCTCTCCCCTCAGAGGGGTGTCTGCATTTCCTGTCTTCACCCGCAAACCCCTCTGCAGCAGCAGTGATGGGACCCGGCTGCAGGGTGCAGGTCCTCGCCCGTCTGCCCGAACAAAGGGCTCCCAGGGCCTGGCTTCAGACTAGCGTGCCGGACACAGCCATTTGATGGACGCGAAGGCTTTCATTATTTCAAAGTGACAGGTTCTTTATGCCCACGCCCTCTCTCCCCACCCCTGCCCGGCAGGTCACGGATTGTTCTTGTGCTTGTCGCCAGACTCGGCGACCTGCGTTCTCTGAGTCCAGAGGTGGCTTAATCGTCACCTTGAGTTTATGATTTCTGGGTGCTTTTAACATGAATTGGAGACATTACTTAGTCTGATGGCTGAGGGTTCCGATATTTTCCTTTCATTCAACAGTTGAGAAAGTACACTAGTCAAGTGAACAATTTTCTGTATCCATTTTGTGGCCAGTTACCGTGATGACTGTGTGTTCTGCAGCGTTCGGGCAGGGTGCTCCGCTACCACTTTGGAGCAGTTTCCATGGCTGAGAAGTAGAGATAGTTTCTGCGTATAGACTATGTAATAGGGGCAGTGTGTTATCTACCTAGGAGACGGGAGGCTGCAGAGTTTCCGTGTGAAAGCGATCCAGATACTCGAACCGATGGCTTGGAACAGGGCAGTGCTGTCTGTTTCCTTGAGGTTTTGGGGTGTGAGCATTTCACAGACAGTTGCCTGAAGAAACTTAAACATAGTTTGGATAAAGTTTGGATTTCAGGGCATTTTAGAAGATGTATTTCTCAAGCGGCACTGCAATTACTGAGCTGTTGACTAGCCCCTGAGTTTGAGTGTTGTTTGAGTTGTTGGACTGACTGCGGGGTGAGGGGGAGGGTAACTCCTCACAGTCAGACCTTTCCATCCTTTTACAAGGGTGTTCTTCTCTCTCCTTCCCCCACCCCAAACTCGAACCGTAGTGAAATACGATCATTCATCTATGAAAACAAAAATTTGATCGCTAAGTAGTGCTTCTTCATTTGTCCAGAAGTTTTCTTGGTTGATGTTGGTGAAAATGACTGAAACTGATGAGTGTTCATTTTTCTTTTAGGCTCAGTGTATGAACCCCTTAAAAGCATCAATCTTCTGAGAGCTGATCATGAAACCCTGTGGGATAAACTGGATTATTATTACAGAATCGGTAAGCCAAGTCTGAGGACAGCAGATCCCCCCGTGGCTGTGGGTGGTCTTTGTTCTGCCCTAGTTGCCACGCGTTCCTGGGGGTGCTCCCCCGCTGGGGCGTCGCGGCAGCTTCGGAGCTCGGGCAGCTCCGTGTGCCAGTCGCATGTCAGGCCCGGGCGCAGAGGGAGCGCAGCCAGCCCTCTCTGTCCCCAGACTGCTTTTAAAACTGTCGCCAATGTCTTCGAACGTGGCCAGACTGGGGAGCCGGATGCTTTCCCGATCAGCACTTACACAGACTGTGGAGCTGCCCTCGCTCATTTCCTCACCGTGGCTCCCAGGCGGTCCCGGGCCTTTCGTGGCGATTTCTAACTCGTCGAGATACAAAGGGAATCTCAGGTCACTGAGACTAATACTGGGTCCCTATTTTGTTGTTGTTGATTTGTTTTTGCCAGTGTCAGCCCGGAAGGTTTAGTTTCCTAGGTGTGTGCGGCTCCTCTTTGTTCATCAGACCCTAAGGTGGAAACGCCTGTTAGTTTTTTCTCAGTTCTCTTCATGTGCCTTATATAAAATTTAATTTATTTGTCTCCCCTAAGGGAAGGATTTTTTTTGTTCCTTTCAACTTCACGTAAAACCTTACTTCACCTTATTTTGGTCAAGATTGTGGTATATATATTTTATGTTGCCCTTTTATTTTCTTTGTAGCCATAACTAGATAAAGAGATTGACTAGCGTGACTTATCGTGACGTTGTGTCTACATCTCCAGAAGTTTTACGCCACAGCTAAGTTTAGAAACAGCAAGGTGGTCAGAAGCAGGCTGCGGCTGCAGCAGCCAGGGGAGGTGGACGGCTGTGCAGTTCATGCAGCTTCTCGCCTTTGCTTGCAGTCAAGTCGACGGTGCTGCAGTACCAGAGTCCCACCACGGGCCTCTTTCCCACCAAGACCTGCGGCGGCGCCCGCGAGGCCAAGGTCCAGGACAGCCTGTACTGCGCTGCCGCCGCCTGGGCCGTGGCCCTCGCGTACAGGTGAGCCGCTGTGAGCGCGGGCCACGGGGTCTGGTGGGAGGTGTGTCCACCCAGACAAGCTGCCGCTGTCTTGGGCTCGGCTGCTGACTCACGTGGGACACGGCACGTCATCTGCTGTGGGGCCTCTACCCTCCAGATGTCCTAAGGGTGCACACGAGACCAGTTTCAGTGCCTCATGACCAGATTCCTCATCTCTAGGCTTGCAAGTCAGCATTAGTTTTTGCAGATGAACTTCCCACACTCGTTCAGTTGCCTGATGCTGATCACAGGGAACGGACGATGACTGCGTTCTGCACGTGACCTAACAGGCCCGGAGCAGTCAATAGATCTGTTCAAACTGAGCAGCGAGGTGACGGTGAAGCAGGGCGGGCCCCTCCCCTCACCCAGGCCAGTGTTTCTCCCACTGCCCTTCATTGGGCTTTCACTCGTCAGATCTGGTTGGAAGTCAAGCAGTTTCTTTATAAAGAAAGAAAAATCCTTGAGCAGTGCAGAATTCCTCCTACTCTATCGATCCCATTGTATACGGAAGCACCCCGTGCGTGTCCTGACGCGTGGTCAGCCGTCAGAGCGCTGACCGTTACCCAGACCAGGTTTCCGAGCCGCTTCCGAAGGCGCGTGCGCCCGCACTCCCGTTGACAGCTGCGCTCCACACGGACGCCGTTCCTCGGTCTTCGGGCCTGGACGGGTGCCCGGTAAAGGAAAATCAAAGACCTGTGGATGGAAATGTTTCTGAAGGATGCGTTGTAGGGAACATTGCTTAAAAAAAAAAGTACAAGAGTGTAGTCTTTTCCCAGAAGACTTTACATATCTGATAGATACATCACATCAACAAAATAAATGATTTTAAACATTTCATATGATCTCAATAGATGCAGAAAAAGAGTTTGACAAAAATTTAACATCCTTTTACAATAAAAGCTCTTACCAAAGCGGTGTCGAAGGAACATGTCTCCACACGACAAAGGCTGTGCATGCCGAGCCCACAGCGACATCAGACCCGTGGAGAAAGTGGAAGCCTTTCCTCTAAGGTCGGGAACAGGCCAGAGGCCCACCAGCCCACTTCTGTTCAACGCAGCATTGGAAGTCCTCGCCACAGCCATCAGACAAGACAAAGAAATAAAGGGCATCCAGCTGGAAAGGAAGACCTAGAACTCTCATTGTTTGCAGATGACATGATGCTATAGAGAGAACCCTCCAGACCTCACCACAGAAACTATTAGAGAGAATGAATGACTTCGGTCAAGTTGCAGGACACAGAATCGACACCCAGAAACCTGCCGCATTTCTGTGTACCAGTAACAAACGACCAGGAGAAATTAGGAAAATGATCCCATTTACAGTTGCATCAAAAAGCATAAAATACCTAGGATTGAATTTAACCAAGAGGTGAAAGACCTGTACTTAGAAAACTGTAAGACACTGAAGAAGGAAACTGAAGATACAAATAAGTGGAAGGATATACCTTGCTCATGCATTAGAAAGATTAATATCGTTAAAATGTCCTTAAAACTTCCTGAACTCCTCAGTCTTACAAAAGCTGTTAAGAGAAAGTTGAACCTATACTTTATGTCATATTAAAATGTGTCATGGAGGGTTTTTGCAGTTTGTTTCAAGAATAACTTCTGGGGGGAAAATCATGACTTTATATTAGGGTTTAAATATGGATTCTCATTATTTAAGAAGAGTGGTGATTTTTTTTTAAAGGACTCCATTTATTTATTTATTTATTTTCCTCACCCGAGGACATTTTTACACTTATCTTCAGACAGAGCAAGAGGAAGAGAGGGAGGAAGAGGGAGAGGAAGAGAGAGAGAGAAACATCAATGTAAGAGACACATTGAGTGGCTGCCACCCACATGACCCCAACAGGGGCTGGGGACATACTGCAACCGAGGTACGTGCCCTTAGTGGGAACCGAACCCGGGACTCTGGTCCTCGGGCTGACACTCTAACTGCTGAGCCCAAACCGGCCAGGGCGAGAGGTGATTTTTTGAGTGCTGATCTGAAAGTGCACGTTCGGACTGGTCGAATGGGTGTGAGTTGCACAGACGAAGGTCCAGGCAAGCCTTGGGGAGGCGCGTTGCAGCCGTGGCCCGGGAGGAAGGAGCTCTCCTGCAGGGCCTGCTCCTGTCCCCGCCTCTGCTTCGGAGGTGGGTGCAGCAGGCGTCCCCCCTGGAGTGGTGAACAGTGAAGTCACATCGCTCTGTCTGCCCGACAGTATTCTGATTTGACTTTCCTTGAAGTTTGCCTGTGGGGAAATAATGCACCAATGATAGGATTCAAGTATCTACTTTTTTCAGCAGTTATATATTTATAAGTAGGGAATTCTGATTTAGATATAAAATTAAGGCTTCATATTGTAGAAATATCTGATCACTACTTACACAAAACTTGAGATCAATAAATTGACTAGAATTAAATTTAAAGTTGTTTCACTTATTTTTTTAAATTAAAAGTATTCTTTAGCTTCCATTAAAACTTGAATTTGCATATATATAGCTTGCTGAAAAAAAGTTGAATTGCCAGTTCGCAGTAGAAAGGAGAGGAACTCTTTCTGCTCACTAGGTTCATAAACATCCCGATGCCCGAACGTCTTTACTCAGACGCAGCTGCTCTTTTACTTCCTCGGCCGGAAGAGAAATATGATGGTTCCCGTTTTATTTGCAGGAGAAAGGAGGAACAGGAGGACGTCATTCAAACAGAGACTCTTTACTGCGGCTGAATTCTGGAATATTTTAGTCGTGGTTTAATGCTCGTTGAAATCAGAGGCAGAGAATTATTTTAAAGACAACTTCAGGAAAATTCGATTTTGTTGTATTTTGAATTATGTTTTACATGGGATAGGAGTTGTACACAGAACATCTCACTGAGTTCATTATTCTTCAGCTGCGTTGTCTCCTCCATATATCAATGTCTGGTCCACTGTTATTTATGCTCTAATTTGCCTCCATTAAAATGCGTGTGTCTGACATCTGGGTGAAAATTGAGCACAGCGGAAAATCATACTAGCCCGGCTGCTGTGGCTCAGTGGATTGAGTGTCGCCCCATGGACGGAGAGGTCCTGGTTTGATTCCTGGTCAGGGCACATGCCCAGGTTGTGGGCTTGATCCCCAGTGAGGGGCATGCAGGAGGTAGCCGATTGATGTTTCTCTCTCTCCCTTCCTCTCTAAAAAATCAATGAAACTTATTTCAAAAAAAGAAAATCCTGCTAGTTTTACTGCACTGCCCACCGATGAAAGGAGGAAGGATATTCTAACGATGGGTAATTCAGCTTTTCACCGACATCACTGTACTGTGTCACAGTGATCGTCATTCTTCCTGCTGGTGGCATATACGATCTGCAGTTGGAAGGTGAAGTCGTCATAGTCTAACGTTTAAGGACACAGGAGATACTTTCTGTCCAGTGGGGATGGTCGCCAGATCTCTTAGTTAAGATTGAGTGAAGCAATGAATAAGCTCTCGTCCACCTATGGAAGGTCATTGATCCATAAGAAAGATAGGAAAATCTTAACCTGGTTTAATAGTTAGATTTTAGTTCTTCTTTCTTTTTAAAAGCAAGGGATATAAACTGTGGTCAATTGATTTTTTTTTTTTTAATGTTTTTATTGACTTTTTTAGAGAGAGAGGAAGGGAGAGAGAAATAAAAACATTGATGTGAGAGAGAGACATTGATTGGCTTCCTGACCGGGCATGTGCCCTGACCGGGAATCAAACTGGGACCTTTCAGTCCATGAGACGATGCTCAATCCACTGAGCCACACTGGCCGGGCTGATTTTAAACTAAGACCTGGGAATATCAGACTTTATGCCCAGAGACAGAGACTTCCGGTCAAGGCGGCATAGGTAAACACAGTCTCGCCGCCTCCCTCAACCACATCAAAATGACAACTAAACTACAGAACAAACACCCTTCAGAACCGCCTGACACCGAGCTGAAGGGAAGTCCTACAGCTACGACATTAAAGCATCTGCCACATGGAGACTGGGAGGAGGGTCGAGGTGGACGGGCTGGTCCCACTCACGTGTGGCGGATAAAAATCAGGACACCTCTGTTCTGAAGGTCCACCCTGAAGCATGAGGGGTCCCCATCCCACACCAGGTGCCCAGCTCAGGGTTCCAGTGCCAGGAAGTGAACCCTCATAACTTCTGGCTGTAAAAACCAGTGGGAACCGAGGCTGAGGGAGGCTGAGGCTGCTGGAGCCCCAGGCAGCTCCTCTTAAAGGGCCCGCGCACGGACTTACTCAGACTCCCTCCCTCCAGGCTCCAGCTTAGGGGAGGCAGCTTGAAAGGCACCAGAGATATACAGGGAAGAACTGAGTTGTTTCGCATCAGGGCGAGAGCTGGAGGGGCAGCTTTATCCTAGACAGACATGCGAGTGGGGCCATTGTTCCCTTGGTGAGCCCTTTCCCCTTTGGGTAGGCAGACAGCCCCCATATCTGGGACTCCAGCAACCTGGCTCACACTGCTTGCCCCGCCCTGGTGATTCCCTGAGGCCCCGCCCCACCCAACGTTCAGGCCCACCCAAGCTGTTTCCAGTGGCTTTACCACAGGATTGGCCTGTTTTGGTTCCTGCTTCAGATTTTCCTAAATTCTCTCAAACAAGCAGCATCTGGCCACAGGAAGCCCCATACCTCTCGCTAAGTGGCCCCAGGCCTGGCACTAGAAGCAACCAGCCTTGGTTCACAGCTGGGCTTTTCCTGGGCACCTCCAAGCCCATACAAGAAGCAGCCATTGGCAGATCACTCTGTAGCTTATGCCTGGTGGCCCCGGGTAGAACATAGGCAGTGGCTGACCTCGCCCCAGAGCCAGCACACCCAGTGGACAGCTTCAGACCATGTCGAAGCACCACCAGCCAACCACCTCCACAAGTGATACACTCAATGAGTGGACTCAGTGGTACCAGAGACCTGCCGAAGTAAGTCTTGCTCTGTGTGGTGGGCCCTGCACAGCTGATCATCCAAGGTAGTCAGAGGTCAGTGATTAGTGGGCACAGCCAGTCCTTGCAGCTGATCAGCCTGAGTAAATCCCTCCCATTGACCTGCCAACAGCAATCAAGTTTCAATTACAACATAAGGGTGTACAGTCCACACTAGGTGTGCACCTTGGAGGTCCAGGTGAGTGACCAGGGAGCCTGTGCCATTGGACCTTACAGGACACCTACAACAATAGGTCACCCTATGAAGCTTAGGAGACATAGCAACTCTACCTAATACATACAGGGAGCCAGCTGAATTGAGAAGACAAAGAAACATGTTCCAAATGAAACATGTTTATAAGGATGTTCAATGAACTCAGTGAGAACGTCAAGGAACTTAGTGAGGACTTCAAGAGCATAAAAAAGGACCAGTTAGAAATGAAGGAGGCACTAACTAAAATAAAGTATAATTTACAGGGAATCAGTAGTAGAGTAAGTGAAGCCAAGAAGCAAACCATCAATTTGGAATGTAAGGAAGCAAAAAATACCCAATCAGAACAACAAAAAGAAAAAAGAGCCCAAAATAATGAGGACAGTATAAGGAACCTTTGGGACAACTTCAAGCATGCCAACATTTGCATCATGGGAGTGCCAGAAGGTGAAGAGAGAGGGCAAGAAATTGAAAACCTATTTGAAAAAATAATGATAGAAAATTTCCCTAACTTGGAGAAGGAAACAGACATATAAGTCTAGGAAGCACAGAGAGTCCCAAACAAGATGAACCCAAAAAGGTCCACACCGAGACACATCATCATCAAAATGCAAAAGGTTAAATATAAAGAGAGAATTTTAAAAGCAGCAAGAGGAAAGCAGTTTGTTACCTACAAGGAAGTTCCCATAAGGCTGTCAGCTGATTTTTCGAAAGAAACTCTGCAGGTCAGAAGGGGGTGGCAAGAAATATTCAAAGTGATGAAAAAGAAGGGCCTACACAACCAAGATTACTCTATCCTGCAAAACTATCATTTAGAATCGATGGCCATATAAAGAGTTTCCTAGACAAGAAAAAGCTAAAGGAGTTCATCACCACCAAACCAGTATTATAAGAAATGTTGACAGGTCTTCTTGAAGAAGGAGGAGGAGGAGAAGAAGAAAAATATGAACAATAAAATGGCAATTAATGCATATCTATCAACAATTGAATCTACAAACAAAATGAGCAAGCAGAACAGAAACAGACTCATAGATACAGAGAACTTTTTGTTGGTTGCCAGATGGAAGGGGAGTTGGGTGAAAAAGACAAAGGGATTAGGAGGTACAAATTGGTTGTTCGACTGATGAACCTCAAAGGGAAGGGGGGGAGAGGGCAGGAAGAGAGAAACCAAAGAACTTCTATGCTTATGTGCATAACCAATAGACACAGACAATAGTGTGGGGAAGGCAGGAGGGGGTGGAAATGGGGAGGAGGGGCCAAGGGGGAGGAAAAAAGAGGGACCTCTGTAATACATTCAACAATAAAGACAAGTTGTTTTTTTTATCCTCACCTGAGGACATTTTTCCATTTTGTGTTCAGATAGAGTGGGAGGGAGAGAGAGGAAGAGAGAGAGAGAGAGACATTGACGTGAAAGAGACACATCGAATGGCTGCCATCCGCACGACCAACCAGGGCCGGGGACAAACTGCAACCGAGGTACATGCCCTTAGCGGGAACCGCACCCGGGTCTCTCCGGACCGCAGTCTGACGCTCCAACCGCTGAACCAAACTGGCAAGGGCTAAAGATAAGTTTTTAAAAAATAGAAAAACAAATAGTTTACAAAACATGAAAGAAATATAGTAGAACATGAAAAAATGCCACAAAAAACTTTATGCCCAAATCCATCATGTGTCATACTGGCTTGTGTTTAAAGGTGTCCTTGACTGACATGCCCACCTTTCACTATTAAGTAATAATTATTTAATCATACATGGCAGAGCAAAGAAGGCCTGTGCCTACCTTAACCTTGAATCCAGTGGCCACCGCACGACCTAAAGGGTTGATGTTAACAGTGCCTGTGCTCTGTGCTGTGAGTTTAAACGTCTCTTGGTAGATTTCTCCAATATAGAAATATTGTTTAAGACTTCAGTCAAGTCCATGTGGAAACATGGCATGCTATTTTTAAAGCAGTTGGCTTCCTTCCTCGAAAGAAGGAGAAACCCACACGAGTTTCATCATGGGATTTCTTTTTTTATTGGAGCATTCTGCATCTGCTTGGAAAACGGAGTTTCACTGCTAGAGAATTAGTAGATGTTGCCGGAATGTAGGATTAGCCAGATAGTTAAATACTTAATTATCAAAAGCTCTGCTTCCTTTTCAAATCCGTTTCCAATTTCTTTCATGAGTTATCTCTCTCGCCCAGGCGCATTGACGACGACAAGGGGAGGACCCACGAGCTGGAGCACTCGGCTGTGAAGTGCATGAGAGGGATTCTCTACTGCTACATGCGGCAGGCCGATAAGGTGAGCCCGTGGCGGGGCGCACGCCCCCTGTGCCCCGAAGGGCTGTTTACCCCGCAGGGCGAGGAAGAGCGCACGGCCCGAAGGTAGCGCCGCATCCGGGCACGCTGAGCCCGTGGCGGGGCGCACGCTCCCTGTGCCCCGAAGGGCTGTTTACCCCGCAGGGCGAGGAAGAGCGCACCGCCCGAAGGTAGCGCCGCATCCGGGCACGCTGAGCCCGTGGCGGGGCGCACGCTCCCTGTGCCCCGAAGGGCTGTTTACCCCGCAGGGCGAGGAAGAGCGCACTGCCCGAAGGTAGCGCCGCATCCGGGCAGCTAGGTTAGCGCAGCCTCTCCTGCCCAGCCACGCTCCGGAATGCCGACGTGGAAGGATGCTCGGCCACAGTGACCGAGGACTGTGACAGGGTCAGCTTGTCTGTCTTGCCTCTGTGTTCGCCTGATAAAGAGTTTCTCAGGAACTCACAGTGTCCATGACTCTACCCGATAGTATATTACTCGAGAAAATCCTTATTAAAATTCCCTTTGGACATGTGGATGCTCTGGCTTAAGTAAACTTAGTTTGAAAATATAACACTTCATTGACAGGTGAAGAGCACAGGAATGACAAGCTTAGTGCAGAAATTAAAGAAATACTGTGCATAATAAAACTGTGTGAACTGTAAAGCACTGTGCAAATACAGTGAGATACTTACCCACATGTCTGTGCCCGCAGGTCCTAGTATAAGTATCCATACATGTGTGAGTGTGTCCCACGTCGGAGGCCCCCCACGTGGCTGGTCCGTTAGCAGAGATGCACACCAGTGACCGAATGGGTGATTGGCATAATGTACTATTGTGTGTTTTTATCACGTGAACATTGTATTGTTTTAATTTATGCTCGAAAAGGGGGAAAAATGTGATGCACATTTTTTTTGAGACCTGTACCTGAAGTTAAAAACTTAAAAAGAAAGTCATCTATATCCTGTCACCAAAATATGGCAACAGGAAAATGCCACTTTGCGGAAGAAGTAGATTTATCCACAAGCTGATAATAGAGAGATGTGACAAACCTATAATTTGTCTACTGAGATTTGACTTTGCAAATTATTAGTGTAAAGGTTTCTCCATGCTTGGGGTAAAGTGCTCTGTCTGGCTGACATACTGAATTAAACTAGTGTGTCATATCGATTGAAGTAATTACGACGGAAGCTATTTTGTCCTCTGTGTGTGAAGTCTGCTGTTTACCTGACGTGTCATGTCGTGACGCCTAACGTCCGTGAATTGGGCTCTCTCGGGAGCTTTGGGGGCCATGAACAGCATGTGTGCACTAAGCAGGCTGATCGGTCCACATGAGACTCGTGTCAGAAGGAAGGCAATGATGTAACAAAGGGTTTTCTCTGTGGCTTGTTTTAGTCGATTCTTAATTTCCCTAAATATTATTCACCGTTACCATCCAGTCTTCACAGTTATGTTGTCTTTTGAATACAGCTTGAATGTGACTGAAGCTGTCTTGAAGTCCTTAAGTTATAAAGGATAAGCATTTTCCCCCTTCTGTATGGTGGAGATCATTTCAGTCAGTGAGTTGTAAGAGGGATGACCGTGGGATCGGGTATTTATGCATACCACAGTGCAGGGTTTTAAAAGTTTAAAGCATTTCATGGTTATACTCTTTCTTGATCCCCACACCTGTTAGAGCAGGGATGCCTGAGGGGCTGACTCAGAGAGACTGAACCCTGCGCCCCCCTCTCTGCCCCATACCTTCAGCCTCTTACCGTGCTCGCCTTCCCTCTCGAGTCCACGGCAGTAGGGAATGGCACCATGTCTCAAAGTGAAATATGTATCTTTTGGTCTGTCTTTAAAACTAAAGGAAGCCTGTTTGTAGTGTTCATTTGTCATTTGACCTTAAGGCTCATCTTCTCTGTCTTCTTTTTGTTGTTAATCTTCATTCAAGGATATTTTCTCCATTATATTTTTTTTTGAGAGAGAGAGAGAAAGGGAGGGAGTGGGAGAGAGAGAGAAACATTGATGTGAGAGAGGCACACTGATTGGTTGCCTCCTGCCCCCTGCCCAGACCTGGGCCGGGGATCAAACCTGTAACCCAGGTACATGCGCTTGACCGGGAATTGAACCCTCGCGGTGCTTGGGCCGATGCTCTAACCACAGAGAAACACTGGCCAGGGCTCTCTGTCCTCTTACACGAGATCAGGACTTAGGAAGCCTAAGGCTCTCTACTGTCATTGATTTCTCATTATAGAACACATGTCCAGACATATTTTCTAAAAATGCTACTGAAAAGAGATATTTTTAACTTATTATGCATCTGAGTGCAAATAGTTGTCCTTGACCTGCAGAAGGTAGCGTAATCTGACTTCCTTTTGTTATTGTTCTGCACGTCTTAATGCTTACTCATCAACGTCCTCCACACATGCGTGTACCTGCTCTCGCACTCACCGTGCTCGTTACTTAGCAACGTCAGGAATCCTCACCTCCACACGTGCGTGTACCTCTTCTCGCACTCACTGTGCTCGTGCCCCTTAAGGAGAAGCAGTCGGCATGTTTCTGCAGCGACCCCGTCTGCAGGCTGGAGCGTGGAGATTTGCTCTCCACTGTGCTGTGTACACTGCTGTCTTTATCTACTTAAACATCTGTTTGTTTAAAATGCCACCGAGTAATTTTCAGTTCACAGGAACATTAAACTTTTATAAGATGTATTCTTCCAGGATTGCCCCGTGAGGCGGCTTTCCCTGCCTGAACGTGTGTTTTCAGGCTGTGCATTAAGAATGGATGACACAGTGCTCGGCTGCCTTTTCCTGCACGCGAAGCTACTTATTTACGATGATTAAAGTTTTAAGAAAAATACAAATAAAACAGAAGCAGAGAAGGCACTGTTCTAGATTTTTTTTTAGTCTGGCAAAGTTTGCTTTAATCATTCTTTACTTTTGCTTGCCAGATGCCAGAGATCATAAAAGACGAATTGCTCTCTCCTTGCTTTTCGCTGCTTTCCAGGGCACTTTGTGTCTGTGATTCACATGCCGTTCGCCTCATCGCATTTCAAAGCTGATAAGAGTTTGGGTCTTATTTTCTCCTGAAATTTTAAATTATTTGCCTTTTAACAGCTTTGAGACAAAGCAGAGTCCGTCGCTTCCCACTTGAGCATCTTGAGTCGTTCAGCAGTTGCTTTCCCCCGACACAGGGCTGGATGTGGATCCTCCCGTTGGGCGCTGTGTGTCAAGCCCAATGCGACACCTCCCCCAGAGCCGCAGCAGCCCTTATTGAGCGGCTAAGACCACATCCCTTATAGATCCCGATCTAGTAGGCGAAAGGGATTGTGTTTTAATCCAGCCATTATTTGTCTAGGCTCCCGGAATACTGTTCAGCGCTCTGAGATGGTAATCGTGGTGGGGAGGAAGGAGCGGCCACGTTGATTTCTGTCTGTGTAGTCTGAGGCCATGGCCAGGGGTCAAGATAGACGTGAAAGCCTTCTTGCCTTCACTTAACACCGCGCGGCTCGGCCACCTTGTAGCTAGAGAGCGTCCCCTGCTTCTTCCTTCTCTCATTCCTGATTTCCGGCCGGTAGGCCCTGACTTTCAGCGTGTGGGTGTCAGTGCTGGGGTGGGCTGGATCTGTGCGAGGTGGGGTGGAAAGGTGAGTCAGCCGTGTAGCACGGTACTGCCCAGGAAACTTCTGTGATGTGGGAATGCTCTGTTACCGTGTCGAGCAGCACACGGCCACTGCTCCGCTGTGGCTGCTGAGCACTTGGAACGGGACCAGTGTGACGGAGGGGCTGGGTTTCCAGCTGTGTTCCACGTGCTGTTCGCCCCCTGCTCCCGCTCAGCCTGCGCTTCCAGGGACCGGCCGGCACTAGCACACGGCTGGTGTCCGTGGTGTTTGCCGGGTGAGTCGAGCAGGACCTCAGTGAGGAGGGATTCTGTCGTCCGTGCAGTGTCTGTTAGGCCATTTAGTTTTCACTTCATATTCTAAAACGGTTAACTTTTTAAAAAAATACATTTTTATTGTTTTTATTTTAGAGAGAGAGAGGAAGGGAGAGAGCGAGAAACATCCACGTGAGAGAGAAATGTCGATTGGCTGCCTTCTGCACGCCCCCTACTGGGAATCGAGCCCACAACCTGGGCATGTGCCCTGGCTAGGAACTGAACCGGGACCTCTCAGTCCATGGGACTGACGCTGAGCCACACCATCCGGGCTAAAATGGTTGCCTTTTGTGTTCAACTAATAAGTAAAGGTGAGCTTACATTCCCTTAGTAGCCAGAGCGTAGGTAGAAAGGAAAGGAAGAATGTCAACAGGAGCCTGGGCTACACCTTGTGGTCCCGAGAGAAGGAAACAGCGTTTTCGTTTTGAACACTTACTGAATGCAGGCGTGGCCTGAGGCACTTTTTCATTGAGTGCTACGTGTTTCCAGAGAGCAGGACAGTGGGAGACAGACCCAGAATTCCCGTCCCACAGAGCAAAATCATTATTTCACTCTAAAATTAGATGCAAAACATTGCAAAAGCCGTTGTTGCTACATTAATGTGTTCCCCGTCTACGCTTGAGTTGCTGTGCTTGTGAAATATCAACCAAGTATTCAGTGGTCCTATTAACTCCATTAGATTAGTCGTTAGGAGTTTTGTCTGCTTCTTTAGGGAAAGTGACATTTCTGCTTTGTCTTTCGCCTAGAAGCTGTAACTTTCCTCATTCAGGTTTCATGAAAAATAACTTATGCTGTCTCATCTCGGATGAGAATGTGAACGACCAGCACTGTGTACATTTTACGTTCAATTCCAGGTCCAGCAGTTCAAGCAAGATCCACGCCCAACAACTTGTCTCCACTCGGTTTTCAACGTGCGGACAGGGGACGAGGTCCTGTCCTATGAGGAGTACGGTCATCTGCAGGTAAAAAGACATGACCAGTCCTCTCTGTTTACAGTCCGCAGCAGAGACGATTCCAGGCTGTTTACAGTTTTTAAGGAGCAGATTTTATGAATGGTTCAGAATAGAAGAGCACCGGCCGTGAGCCGAGGGAGGGCATGTGGAGCTCGGGCCGAACGAGTCAGTGTGCTGAGTAGACCTGACTGCGCCCTGGTCCGCAAGCAGAAGGGCAGCGGAAGGGCTCCAAGGTCAGGCCGTCTAGAAGGAGGAGTCCTACAGTTTTCCCAAGACAAAGTTTATACTTATCAAATCTGAAAGAATGTCAGCGCTTGGGAACTAAACCCCAGCTCCTTTGTTTCACACTGGGAAGGGGAATGGTTTCTCCAGGCCCCGGTGAGAGCAGATGACTCGTAATTTTACTCTCACGTTGAATTTCATCACGACGTTTCTGCCGTCTGCTGTCACCTCCTCACCACGCTGTCTGTTCCCAGATCAACGCGGTGTCCCTCTACCTCCTGTACCTGGTGGAGATGATCTCCTCGGGTCTGCAGATCATCTACAACACGGACGAGGTAGGCGCCTTCGGTCCTCGGAGCTGTTTCATCTTTTCTTTGACTCTTTAAAACGTAATTTTAGTTTTATAAAAAATGGATTATTTTTCAATTCATATAATCAGATACTGGATTTGGGATATTGGATCAAAAACTCTTGCCCGGCCAGTGTGGCTCAGTGCTTGAGCGGCAGCCTGTGGATTGGAGAGTCCCGGGTTCAGTTCCCACTACGGAATATATCTCGGTTACAGTTTATCCCCAGCACCGGTTGGGGTTGTGTGGGTGGCAACTAGTCGATGTCGCTCTCCCCCCACCCCACTCCCTCCTTCCCGGTCTATCTGAAGATAAATGCAAAAATGTCCTTCTAATTTTGAGAATTACAAAAAAAGAAGGGGTCGCCAGTTGGATTCCCCGTCAGGGCACATACCCAGGTTGGGGCCCGATCCCCAGAGTGGGACATGTGGGAGGTGGCCAGTTGACGTTCTCTCTCGTCAGTGTTTCCCCTTCTGCTCTAACTTTGGTGATCTGAAATAAACAACTTTCAGAAAATTTTAGTAACCATCAAAGTAAAATAGCATTTGCAGAATTTCTCAGTTATTATGTTTTTTTTTTAACATCATTTCTTTTTGTAAACTATCCTTTTAAAAGTAGAAATATACCTTTATCATATTGTATTATTTTTATTTGTGGGGCCTCTCAGTAGGGTTCTTGATGCATTTCAAGAGAGAAATACCACGTTCTTACTCTTATTGGAAATTTGAACTGAATTTCCACCCACAGTTGAGGAGTGTTTCTCTCATAGGTGATAATGCTTGAACACAGACACACCTTCGACACACTTCAGCTGAGCCCCAGTGGGGACACAGGCTCTTGTCATGAGACAGTACGCGCAGTGGGGACACGGGCTCTTGTCATGAGATGGTACGCACAGTGGGGACACGGGCTCTTGTCATGAGATGGTACGCACAGTGGGGACACGGGCTCTTATTATTGAGACGGTACACGCAGTGGGGACACGGGCTCTTATTATTGAGACGGTACATGCAGTGGGGACACGGGCTCTTGTCATGAGATGGTACGCACAGTGGGGACACAGCCTTTTATCGTGAGATGGTACACATAATGGGAGGTCCCCAGAGAGGAGGCATGTTGTGTGGACTAGTCATTCTTCCTCTCCCATGACCCGTTCAGGGAAAACACGGTCAGACACTGACTGCCAGGACCAGCAGGGGACTGCACAAGACCGCTGGGCAGTGGGTGTGTGCAGCCCCGCCCTCTTGTGGCTTGTAGTCTTGTAGGTCCTTCCAGCTGTAGTTTTTATTATTTTTATTTTTTTTTATCCTCACCCGAGGACATTTTTCCATTTTTTATTCAGATAGAGTGGGAGGGAGAGAGAGAGAGAAACATCGACATGAAAGGGACACATCGAGTGGCTGCCACCCTCACAACCCAACCGGGGCTGGGGACAAACTGCAACCGAGGTTTGTGCCCTTAGCGGGAACTGAACCCGGGTCTCTCTGGACCGCAGGCCAACGCTCTGACCGCTGAGCCAAACCGGCCAGGGCTCAGCTGTAGTTTTTAATGACAGTAAGTGTAATCTATTTAGAAGTGAAGAGAAACAACAAAGAGGAAATAATGATATGAAGAAATTAATAATAACCATGAAGGTTTCTTCTGTTTGATTCATCAAAGAATTACATATTTTCTTTTCATCTAAATCATTCTCTCTCTCTCTCTCTCTCTCTTTTTATTTTTGTTTATCCTCACCCAAGGATATTTTACCATTGATTTTTTTAGAGAGAGTGGAAGGGAGGGAGGGAGAGAGAGAGAGAAAGAGACATCAACGTGAGAGAGACACGTCAGTTGGTTGCCTCCTGCATGACCCCGACTAGGGCCAGGGATGAACCTGTAACCCAGGTTCATGCCTTTGACTGGGAATCGAACCCGAGACTCTTCGGTCCATAGGCCGATGCTCTGACCACTGAACCAAACCGGCCAGGGCTAAGTTGTTCTCTCTCTCTTTTTTTTTTAATCCTCACCCGAGGACATTTTTCCATTTTTTGTTCAGATAGAGTGGGAGGGGGAGAGAGAGAGAAACATCGACATGAAAGGGACACATCGGGTGGCTGCCACCCGCACAACCCAACCAGGGCTGGGGACAAACAGCAACCGAGGTACTTGCCCTGCCCTTAGCGGGAACCGAACCCGGGTTTCTCTGGACCGCAGGCCGATGCTCTGACCGCTGAGCCAAACCGGCCAGGGCTAAGTTGTTCTCATTTTCAATAATATTGTGAAATACTGGTATGCAGATATCTCAGGTGGGGCTGGGGGACTCCTGTCGCAGACCAGTCCTAAGCAGCCTCCTGAATAGGAAACAAACGAGAGAGGGGGACTGACCAGGGAGAGGAGGCCCCAGCTCCGGCTTTGCAGCTTTCCCGCCAGAGGCTCCGGACGGAAGCAGAAGGGGCGCAGGTCCCAGCAGGGCGGGGGGACCGTTCGCCGTGAGCAGCAGCTGACCCCGCGGTTGCCAGTGACCTGCCCCGGTGTCCCTGGTGGCGGGCGAAGCGCCTTCAGGGTGTGGCTTGGTTTTGTTTGCCGTTTTATTTTCATTATCCAGTTTTATCATTTATTTTTTGCTTTCTCGACATCTGCCATAGTTCATTTTTGACCTTCGTCTGTCAAACGATGTTTTGTATAAGTATGATCTTGCTTTAAGCTTTGCAGTGCTTTGTCTGGCTTATCTATACTTAAGCAATTTTGGTATTTTCTTCTTAAATTTAGTTTTTATTGTTTTCTTATGCTTCTCCCTGGCCTTGCAGGCTTTATTTGGTAATATACAGTTTTTATGCGGCCAGTATCACTAAGCCTGCAGCATGTGCACGGCCACCCCGGGACGATCAAGGGTGCCGCTGCTGCCCGGCAGCTTTCCCTGGAGAGCCGGGCTGTGTCGGGACCATCAGTGAGGCAGCGGGGCTGTGCTGGGACCATCAGTGAGGCAGCGGGGGCTGCGGGGGCCTTTCGGGGATGGAGGTCCTTCAGGACGCGGTTTTCCTCCTCTACACGAAGACCTGGAGACGCCGCGCCCTGCCACCGCGCAGGGAGGAGGGCTGCGCCCACCGCTCCAGAGGGCCTGGGGGAAGGGTGGGCGGAAGCCTTCAGCTCACCACGCTGGACCCACATGGCGACTCCTCTGAGCCTGTGATCCGGACCAGCAGGCCACTTAGAAAATGCCTTTATGAAAACAAATACACTTGTTTTAAATGAGAACTGATCTTAATCTTTGCTTTCACAGTTATTTTCTTAGTGTAAATTTCATCAACTTTTACTTGGAAGTCGTGGGACTCCGGCCTGTTGCTTGGAGCCCAGCTCCACTGTCAGCTCTGAGTGTACAGGAATGAGCTCTTGTTGCTATGGAAACGCAGGGGGATGATCTGATTCCGGGGGTGACAGACGCCAGACTCCAGGTTCGCCCAACACGGGACTGGCGTGTTGCAGAAACTATCACCAAAGTTTTACTTATCTAACATTTCAGATGGCCATTTGAGATTCCAAATATTATCTACTATAAAATAGTGCTTTATATTTTTCTTAATTCTTTTTTTTCCCTTCTTTATTGATTTTTAGAGAGAAAAGAAGGGAGAGGGAGAGAGATGGAGACATCGATGAGAGAGAACATCGATTGGCCGCCTCCTGCATGCCCCCCGCTGGGGATTTGGCCCACAACCTGGGCATGTGCCCTGACTGGGAATCAAACCAGTGACCTCTTAGTGCATGGGATCGACACTCAACCAATGAGCCACACTAGCCAGGCTATTTTTTTTTCTTTCTTCCTTTTTTTGGTACATGCCCCTAGTGGGAACCGAACCCGGGACTCCTGGTCCACAGGCCAATGCTCCAACAACCGAGCCACACTGGCCGGCCTATTTTTCTTAATTCTGAAGATGCACAGTACTCATGAATGGTGACAGATATAACACTGAGGAGTTACGGTTGAAGCATTGACAGGATTTCAACTTTGTTTATGTGTGGTATAATGTTAGGTTCTCACTTCATATTACAATAACCAGGCAGAACACAGTGTTCACAATGATGTAATCGTCGTGAGAACTTCAGCGCGTGAAAGAAGTGTTGGTAGGCAGGTATGCATTTGGAGTTCAGATGGTATCTGATTATTCTTACAATATCTAAGCCTCTGTCACTACCATGCCCTATGTTCATTCTCTTCGTTCAGGTCTCTTTTATTCAAAACCTCGTGTTCTGCGTGGAGAGAGTGTACCGCGTGCCGGACTTCGGTGTCTGGGAGAGAGGGAGCAAATACAACAACGGCAGCACGGAGCTGCATTCCAGGTAATTTGCATATTTCTGAGGGTTTGCTTTTTTTTCATTTAAATATGTGCATTTGAATATGAATGAAAATCAGAGTATTCGATTGGAACTGTGGTTGCGGTGTTAATTTTCATCTCCTTCTCATTCTATATGTGATGCAGATGAAATTCATTTCAAATTAAAGTAACAGTCAGTTCTGAGTGCCCGTGAGCAGGTGCAGGGGACGAGCAGGTGTCCTTCCCAGCCCCCCACTGTCAGCACTGGCGTGTTTGCCTCCCACCCAGGGCCCGGCCTTTCTGCCCAGCTCCGTCCAGCTCTCTCTTCTCGGCAGGGATGCCCTTTGAAGGTCAAGTCCATTGAAACTGCCCAAAGGCAGCGCGAACGCCCTGCGTGAGGAGACCTGTCAGGGGTGCAGAGCTGGTTTTACCCTGACCGGATGCACTCAGACCTCCCAGCCCACGGAGCTCTTGTTTCCTAGAAGAGGTTCGGCCAGCCTTGGGGGCTGCTGGTTAGTGGGTGTGAAGAAACAGCCGTGGCCGCTGCCTGGTGTTAGGGTGGGGGGTAGCTTCGGTGACTGCCTACCTTTCAGACACTCGGCATTGATGCCCAGGAGGTCATCTTCTCACTAAAAAGTATAGCTCAGTTGGTTCTGTCCTTATAAGCTGTAGGTCAGCATAGATCATTGAGACTTAAATGAAGTAGCAGTTTAGGAAACACTGGTGAAGAGGGGTCGGCCGCTCTGTACGTTTCGATGGAAGACGAATCACAGAAAAAAAGTAAGCTGATAGAAGGTCATTAGTAAATGCAAGACTGGCCGCAGATCACTAGCTGTATGTCTCTGATGCCTCGGTTTCCCCATCTGTAAAATGAAGGTAACGATAGTTTCTACTTTATAAAGTTGTAACGATTACATTAACATACAAATATGAATTTTTTGGCTATTGGAAAGCAAACAGGAAAACTGTGTACTTAATAAATTAGCGATGTGGATATAGGCCCAAATGGAAGGAAATGCTTTTGAAACATTAAATGCTAAATAGAATGTTACCGAAAGACATCAGAGGAGGATTCCAAAACGGTGGCGGAGTGAACAGAAGCTACACAGACCGTCTCCCAGGACAAACTGGAATTACAACCTAAACACAGACAAATTGACGGGAAAAAGCAACAGAAAAGCAGCTTGTGAGGACCATATAACCAGGGACACTGACTCGATCCCGGTAGGGTTGAGGAGGCGTGAGAGGGGGCTGGGAGCCCACAGACAGCAGCGGCCTTAACTGGGAGCAGCGCCCTCGGGTTAAACTCCCAGGCGGCTCCACAGCGCAGAGCCAGGACAGAGGCTAAAATAGCCACAGCTACTCACCTTGGGCTCTGGCAGAGGGAGAGCAGACTGGACAGGAACTGTGTGGGGACACTCAGGATTTGGAGGGCACTCAGAGCTTTTGCTGAGTTGCAGCCATGCAGGACGGTGGTCATCTTGCTCCTTCCCAGGGTTCTAGGGAGAGGTAGCGGCCCCTCCCTTGGAGATTCAACCCCACCCAGGTGGGCCATTGAAGTGCAAAATGAGGCTCATTAACAACCAGCGTCTGCCCCACTCTCCGGAAATCCCCTTATGCTGAGCACCTGAGGGAGTTTTTCATTCAACTGACAACCCAAAACTCTTCAAGTAACCGCTACTGCTAGCCTCCAGGCAAAAAGCTAGAGAATAACTACCATTCCTGGGCTAGCAACTCTAACCAGGAAAGTAAGACTTGACAGTGGTGTTTAACGTGGGTAATCCCTCGCTCATACAAACACAGGAGAGGGAGCCACAAACAGCAGATTACCAACACCCACAGGGAAAATTTGGCAGGCTCCAAAGCCCACTGTGATAGCCAAAATGGTGAAACACAGAAACAAAAGCCAAATGAAAGAACAAGAGACCTCTACCGAAGATGAGATAAATGTGGAGCAGTTAGGCAAGTTAACAGAGCTAGAATTCAGAGCAATGATCTTGAGAAAGCTCAACAGCATGAGTAAGGACATAGAGATGTTGAAAATCAACCAATTGGAAATTAAAAACCACCAAGAAGAAATCAAGAATGAATATCAGAAATAACACATTGGAAGGTCTAAACAGCAGAGTAGAGGAAGCTGAGGATTGGATCAGTGAATTAGAAGACAGGGTAGAAAAAATCAACCAATCAGAAAACCAAAAGGAAAAAATGATTAAAAAACAGGAAGACAGCTTAAGAGAACTGTGGGACAACTGGAAACATAATAACATTCGCATCATAGGAGTCCCCGAAGAGGAAGAAAATGGGCAAGGGTTAGAGAATATATTCGAAGAAATAGTGACAGAAAACTTTCCTAACTTGGTGAAGGAAGAAGACATTCAAGTTCAAGAAGCAAAGAGAGCCCCAAATAAGAAGAACCCAAACAGGCCTACACCATGACACATAGTAATTAAAATGCCAAAAATTAAAGACGAAGAGAGAATCCTAAAAGCAGCAAAAGATAAGCAACAGGTTACCTACAAAGGAACCCCCATAAGGCTTTCAGCTGACTCCTCAAAAGAAACACTACAGGCCAGAAGGAAATGGCATGAAGTAATCAAGGTCATGAAAAACGATGATGTGAATCCAAGACTACTCTACCCAGCAAGGCTGTCATTCAAAATAGAAGGTCAAATAAAGAGCCTCCCAGACAAAAAAAGGCTAAGGGAATACATTAGCACCAAACCAGCCCTGCAAGAAATGTTAAAAGCACTGCTGCAATGAGTAGAAGAAATAGGAAGAAAAATAGAACCAAACTAAACAAAAATGTCAATAAATAAGTACATATCAATAATCACCTTAAATGTAAATGGATTGAATGCTCCCATAAAAAGACACAGAGTAGCTGATTGGATAAGAAAGCATGACTCATCTATATGTTGTTTACAAGAGACCCACCTCACAACAAAAGACTCACATAGGTTGAAATGGAAGGGATGTAAAAAAATCTTCCAAGCAAACGGAAAGGAAAAAAAAGCTGGGGTAGCAATACTCATATCTGATAAAATAGATTTCAAAATGAAGGCCATAACTAGAGACAAAGAAGGCCACTGCATAATATTAAAAGGATCTATCCAAAAGGAAGATATAACATTGATAAACATATATGCACTCAATATAGGAGCACCAAAATATATTAAAAATCTTCTGGAGGACTTCAAAGGAGAAATCGACAGCAATACAATCAACAGGTGACTTCATTACCCCGCTGACACCACTGAATAGATCCTCTAGACAAAAAATTAGCAAGGAAACAGAGACTCTAAATGAAGCACTATACCAAATGGATTTAATAAATATCTACAGAAAATTACACCCCCAACTACAGAATTCACATTCTTCTCAAGTGCACATGTGATATTCTCAAAGATAGATCACATGATAGGACACAGACTAAATCTCTACAAGTTCAAGAAGATTGAAATCATATCAAGCATCTTCTCAGATCACAGTGGCATGAAACTAGAAATCAATTGCAACAAAAACATACAAGGACATTTGAACACATGGAGGCTAAATAGCATGTTATTAAATAATCAATGGGTTACCGAGGATATCAAGGAAGAAATGAAAAACTTCCTGGAAACCAATGAAAATGAACACACAACACAAAATCTATGGGATGCATCAAAAGCAGTTCTGAAAGGGATGTTCATAGTACTACAGGCCTACCTCAAGAAACAAGAAAAATTTCTAATTGACTGTCTAACCTCACAACTTAAAGAATTAGAAAGCAAACAAAAAGAAAACTCCAGAGCAAGTAGAAGGAAGGAAATAGTAAAGATCAGAGCAGAACTAAATGACATAGAGACCAAAAAAACAATTCAAAGGATCAGTGAAACAAAGAGCTGGTTTTTCGAAAAGATAAACAAGATTGATGGACCCTTAGCTAGACTCACCAAGAAACAAAGAGAGAGAACCCAAATACACAAAATCAGAAATGAAAGAGGAGAAGTAACAACTGACACCACAGAAATACAAAAGACCATTAACAGCTATTATGAACAATTATATGGCAACAAATTCAACAATCTAAGCAAAATGGACAAATTTCTAGAAACACACAGTTTCCCAAAACTGGACCGGGAAGAGATAGAAAACTTGAACAGACCAATAACAACTAAGGAAATTGAAGAGATGATCAAGACTCTCCCAGCAAACAAAAACCCAGGCCCGGATGTCTTCACGGGGGAGTTTTACCGAACATTCACAAAAGAACTAACACCCATTCTCCTCAAACTATTTCAAAAAATTCAAGAAGAAGGAAGGCTTCCAAACTCATTTTATGAGGCCAGCATAATTCTAATTCCAAAACCAGAAAAAGACACTACAAAGAAAGAAAACTACAGGCTAACATCCCTGATGAACATAGATGCCAAAATATTGAACAAAATCGGATCCAGCAATACATCAAAAAAATTATTCACCATGACCAAGTGGGATTCATCCCAGAGATGCAAGTCTGGTACAATATTCACAAATCAATAAATGTGATACACCACATAAACAAAATGAAGAATAAAAACCACATGATCATATCAATAGATGCTGAAAAAGCATTAGACAAAATCCAGCATCCATTTCTGATAAAAACTCTCAGCAATGTGGGAATAGAGGGATCATATCTCGACATAATAAAGGCCATATATGAAAGACCTACAGCCAACATCATACTCAATGGGCAAAAACTAAAAGCATTTCCCTTAAGAACTGGAACAAGACAAGGATGCCCACTTTTGCCACTCTTATTTAACATAGTACTGAAAGTCTTAGCCACAGCAATCGGACATGAAGAAAAAATAAAAGGGATCCAAATTGGAAAGGAGGAAGTGAAACTGTCATTTTTAGCAGATGACATCATATTATACATAGAAAACCCTAAAGACTCCATCAAAAATCTACTAAACTTAATAAATGAATCTGGCAAAGTAGCAGGATACAAAATTAACGTCAGGAAATCGACAGCATTCTTATACACCAATGATG